AGAAACCTGCTAAAATAGATTAGCTCCTGTACGGATAATACCAATTTGATTAACGATGTACATTTATCCCAAACGGTCTGAGAGAAGGAAGTGACAGCACTTCCTGGTTCAACAAAATGTATTTGGAAAAATGAGCAAAGCCCCACGAAATGGCACAGAGCCACTGATAATGAAAGCAAACCACCAGTATAGATAGATTTATTAGATAAAAACATATGTTTAAGAATAGGGCTCGATAAAAGCAAAATAAGCAAACATATTTGTAAATAGATTAGAATAGTTTAAACTATAGTGAATAGTTTTAGTGCATACATTACAGACGAGGTTTGAAGAAGAATCAGAATGACAGCAGTGGTCATCAAAGAGTTTAGTGAAGGAATGTTTCGAATGTGGTTGTGTGTTGTTTGTTTTCTCTGTATTAACTCTTCACAGATATCGAGCCGGAACTAAGCACAAGGATTGATGATAAACGACGATGTGGATTGTGACCTAATTTTTAATCAGGTCAAAAGAGGGAAACTGTTGTATTTATAAATACGTGACATTCTAAAACCATGTGTTTTATGACCTAGCTAACCTCTAAGTGGGAGGCCAGTCCTTCTTATTTTATTTTAGGTGTCTTCTTGTGCCAGCAACTGGACAACAGATTCTCCTGTTTGGATTTCACCCCCCTAGTCTTGGCCTGCTGACTTCTGCACTTTTCAACCTCACTCCATCAGGAGTCTGGCAGACGGAGGAAAAGGCTGGACCCTAGACCGGAAGCTGGCTGATAGGACACTCCCCTCCTTCCTGTTCTTTATATATGCTCTGGCTTGGGGAGAAACAGAAGGATCAGCCGAGGGCCAGGAGAGGGACATATTAGTTTTAGGAGCACTCTTTTGTTGATTTCTGTATCTGATTGTAAAGATAATTAAATGCAGATGTTAACCTTTGAGAATCTTTTTGTCTGATTTCTGTATCAAATTGTGGACACGTCAGCCAAAGGCAATTATTGGCTTCACTCTCTACCCCTCCTCATGTTTGGTTATCACCAGAAATGTCCACTCTGTTCCTGTTTCGAAACTCTTCTCTGTCTGCGTTTCCGATGCAAGACTAGCAGCAAGCCGTGCTCCAACAACGACACAAAGCTGAACTTTTAAGTCGCAAATGTACCAAGATGTCACCTTCAATTCTCACGTCCATTTAACTTGAACAAACGGCCAGCAACCTCCGTGGGCCTGCGCGCTTTGATCCTTGCAAATTGGCCCGTGATTATTCGTCAGCAGCTTCCGGTGCGGGGGGGGGATGTGTGGAGGGTCGTTTCGTAGGTGTCGATGGCTGTATGGAGATGGCGATGGGGTGGGTTTTCTGTCCCACAATGGAAAATAGGTGGATTTTGTTGCTTTGAAGCTTTGGCAGGGATGTGGCATTTTTCTCAAAAACAAGAAGCACATTTGTTAACACATTTCAGAATCAAAACATAAGGTGAAGGGTGATTCTAAACCAAGAAAACTTTGACAAAGGAAAACGAAGAGGACTTACAGAACAAAGAAAGACATGGACAGAGGACAAAGGACCACATGGCCACCCAAAATGGCGGTCTATCTACTTTTTGCAATGTCCAATTCCAAATGTTGAGTAATTTAAAGGTCTTTAAACATCCAATTTCAATGTAGCTTATTTAGATGTCTATAAATGTCCAATTTCAGTTTAGAAGTAATGTAGAAGTTCAGTCCGAAGTAATTCAATTCTAACACATTCATCATACAGGCGTAACTCTGCGTTCTTTAATTCAAAATGAACCCCGTTCACTTTTAACTGCAGTAAAAAGTAGTCCCCGACTTACTCTTAATAATAACCCCATTATTATACAGTCTATGATAGTCCCCGACTATCTAAAGATAAACCCCGTTATCCCGGCCTCGACTGTCTGCAATATAGTCCCCGACTATTTAAAAAGGATAATCCCCGTTATCCCAGGCCTTTTTTAATTTGAATCCCCGACTCAAAAAGTAAAATACCCTTTTGAATGAAACCCCGTTCATTCGAGCTCTGTAAAAGTCATGTGTTCATGTGAACTTCACACTACTTCCTGGATTACTTTTGGACATAATTTAGAGTGTACAGAACTTGCCTTTGTTGCGATTTCATCAGGAAAAAACTGTAGTTCTCCCGTCGACTCCAACCCAGGGCTGTCCTGCCTCAAACCTGGAGTTCCAATGCAGTTCCGAATGCAGAAGGCCTTGTTGTTGCTCCTGGAAGTCCATGTTTGAGACACGCTCAGCTCCTGTAAGAAGTGTTGGAATCCGGCTCGAAGGACCAAGTGATAATGCTGTTTCAACTACAGTTGAACCTGATGAAATCTCACACAACAAAGAGACAAAGTTAATCTTTTACTTGTTACATTGTACAAGGAGAATGTCCTGACAGAGGCAAGGCACAGACCCCAGCCTCTCTCAGGACAAGTCTGAAGATTCACAGATGGCAAGCCCCTTTTGGTAGAGCAAGACACACCTTCGTATGCAGATGGGGAAGGAAGAAACCAACACAACAAAAGAACAGTGAGACATTAGCATCCTCAAAACCTGCTTCCTCCTGGCATCTGCATACAACCCCCAAGCACTCTGAAGTCAACAGTGGATTACAATACACAGTATAGAATTCAGCCACAAATGATTTAGCAAAATGATAACTAAGTTACATTCCAATATCACCTACTCACTGTGACCCTACATTTCACTGTCCATTTATAACGGTGTTTGCTTTCAACTGTTTTTGCTTTTAACTTTTGTAAGGCGACGTTGACTGCCTAAAAAGGCACCGTATGAATAAAATGTACGATTATTATAATCAAGTATTTAACGTTATTTCAAATTACTGCACAGATGCATGATTTTGAGGTCAGGTCTGCAGTGTCCATTAATCCTCATTGTTCGTTGTACAGTCTGACAGCAGCAGGATTTAAAGACATGTCTGTATTTGCAGTGTTTATATTGTGATATTGTCTTTGTAAAACCTGATATGAGCCATATACGTAAGGATTGACCAATCCAATGCAGTCTGTCCTGGGGAAACTCCAGCTTGCCTTTGCAACTGTCATACACCCTATATACTACAATGGTGATTCTGACTCTAATTGACCCTAAAATTCAACATTTCGTCCATAAGATAAGACTCAAGACAAAATACTTACAAATGACAAAAATATCAACAAATATTCTCAATTGGCCAGCATTTCAGATTTATGCAGCTAAAACAAGGAAACGTGTTCTTGAAACTGTGAGACAGGCGCTCATTCTGTGTTCAAGTTCAGGTTAAAAACAGTTCTGCAACAACGGGAGGATTGTATCCTCACTCTTTTTTAATTTATTATTTATGATTTTAATGTCTTTTGTGATTTTAATGTTTCTTTTCTTGTTTTGTTTAGCACTTTGAGTTGCCATGTGTATGAGCTGTGCTATACAAATAAACCTGCCTCGCCTTGGCTTAATATTTTTTTTTGTATAATTCAACTAATTTATGGCCAAACTTGCATTTGTAAGCCAGATCCTGTTAGACCTCTGAAGCTGTGCAGGGCAGAACCTGGTTAGAACTTCGATGGGAGACCTCTGGAAACACCATGTGCCAGAATGGGATGACTGCAGCCATAAAGAGCAACAATGTCGGCAAGACATTACACCCGCATTGCCTCAAATTAGTTTGGTGTACGTGCGTGTGAATGGTTGGTTGCAGCTGCAGGCGGATACTGGTTGCTTCGCTGCTGTTAATGTGCCCCAGGGCAGCTGTGGCGACTATTGTAGTTTCGCACCACTATGTATGGAGTGAAAGAATAATGACATGTGAAGCATCTTTGAGTGTAGTGAAAAGCGCTATATAAAACTGATGCGTTATAATTATTAATTCCGTGCTCCAATTTGTCTCTGTTCACCTTGACCTTGAACACTGCTTCACTGGTCTGTTGTAGGCTGCGCTCTCCTCCTGCAGATGACGCTGTTGTTGGCTCTGGCACGTCTTAACCTTATTTTTTTCAGTCTTAACTTAATATTTACAGCCATGATCTCAACAGACTCCTGGAATCCACAGAAACGTGTCCATGTTCTCCTCGTGACTGCATAGATTTTCTCCTGGGGCTCAGTTTCCCCTACTACTAATTACGAACTACACTACACATAAATATGCAATAGTTCAGGCTTCAGGGTGAATGAGTGTGTTTAGTGAGTGAACGAGCCGAGGAACGCACGCAAACGCATACGTGCACGCACACACACACACACTCTGGTCTTTCTCTCTAGTCTGGTCTCTCTCTCTGGTCTCACATATGGTCTCTGGTCTCTCTCTCTGGTCTGGTCTCTCTCTCTGGTCTCACCCTATGGTCTCTGGTCTCTCTCTCTGGTCTGGTCTCTCTCTCTGGTCTCACCCTATGGTCTCTGGTCTCTCTCTCTGGTCTCCCCTATGGTCTCTGGTCTCTCTCTCTGGTCTGGTCTCTCTCTCTGGTCTCACCCTATGGTCTCTGGTCTCTCTCTCTGGTCTGGTCTCTCTCGCTGGTCTCACCCTATGGTCTCTGGTCTCTCTCTCTGGTCTCACCCTATGGTCTCTGGTCTCTCTCTCTGGTCTGGTCTCTCTCTCTGGTCTCACCCTATGGTCTCTGGTCTCTCTCTCTGGTCTGGTCTCTCTCTCTGGTCTCACCCTATGGTCTCTGGTCTCTCTCTTTGGTATGACTCTGGTCACTCTCTGGTCTCTCTCTTTAGTATGACTCTGGTCACTCTCTGGTCTCTCTCTCTCTGGTTTGAAAGTTAGTTACTCCAACAGTTCAGTAATTGAGTAAAAAGAAATACTACTACTCCTGTTGCTGTCGCTGTAACATGATTGCCTGTCCTTGCCTGTCAATCACGCAAGCTATGGCTGAAGTCCCGCCCCCCGCGCACTAACGCACGGGAACAACATGGCGGCCGCTGCCGCACTAGCCCCTCACCTCTAAACCAGCCGTTACCGAGCCATGCGCTGAAACCCGGGCAGCCGAGATGACCCTCTGCGCCCAGTACTTGCGGTGAGCCCTCGGTACTCTCCCGGACGAGTGATTTGAGCTACCAAAACCTCCCCGAAATGTCAGCTTTCCCCCTGGCTCTGGCGTTGTTTTGTCCCGATGCTAATGCTAATGCTAACTGCTAATATCAACAAATACGCGCTCGTCTGCTTTTTAGACGTTTTTGACACATTCTGTCGCCGTTGGTCATCACAACGCTCTTCTATCACTACTACATGAGCTTAAAACGTTTATTTGGACATGTTAATGTTCATTTTAGCATTTAGCTGTTGTGTCTGTCATTTACGATGTGAAACCAAAACATCATTTGTTTTCCGCGTTTCCCTGTCGCTTTTTGCAGATTTGAATGTTCAAATCAGGCGAATAAAGCATGGATTGTTGTGGGCTGTACAGCTGTATGGTGTAGTCTTTTTAATCTGAGACACTAATGCTGTGTTTCTGTTTTGTGTGAGAGCAGACAGGCAGAGGCCCTGAAGGCTGACATGACAGGTGAGTGAGAGGCGACAGTGACATGACTACACGCACACGCACACGCACGCAGCTGCATTTGAGACTTGTGTGATCTTGTAAATTATGGCGAAAGTATCGGCTTTGGTACAACTGTATAGTACAGTATAGAATAGTTATTGGCTCTGGTTCAGTCTCGGCACTCGTAGTCTCGTTCCATATCAAAAACTCCCGTGGCTTCTAAAAATTTTCCAGGATTTTTCACAAAGTTTTGTAAATATCCATCCTTAAAGCTGGGGTAAATAACTTTCAAACCCACATACAATGGACCTAATATATAATCAAATCAATCCAAGTAATCCTAGTTTTCACATACATGTATGTTTGGCCTCTGTCACAAATTGAGATCAGTTATTTGCCCGGCTCAACTCATTGGCCCGCCTGGGAGCTGCCTCAGTCCTGCATCGTGTTTGTCCTCGTTCTGAGGCCTAAGTCCTGCCCCGCGTGGCCTTGGTCCTCGTTCAGTAGCCTGAGTCCCGGATCTATAGCCCGTCCCGTCCCTGGGAGAAGATTCCTCTCTCAATATGGCCCACATCTCCAAGGTTTCTCAGCTTTTCCAACTGAGCTTTTCCTTGCCAATGCAGTAGTGTCTGTTAGACCTTTGTGAGGGTGTAAAAAAGGACAGTGCTGTGGTGATGATCCAGGACACTCAACATTCAACGATATTTTTGGACATTGGTCATCTCCCCCTTATGGACCTTCCAATATGTTCTGTTTTATTTCTTGTAGTGTTTGATTCTCTGATCTCTCTCTGGTGTTGGTGAATTCAAAGGTTGTGAAAAGTCCTCAGAGATAACTACTGTTGTGATCTAGGGCTATAGAAGAATACATTGAATTGAACATTGAATTATTTCAGAGCTTTGTCTCATAGAAAGATACTTAAGACTTGCAGCCATTTTCCAGCGCATTCAAAAGAGTAATAAGATTAAGACTGCAACCTTTGGTCTTGTTTATTCCTTGAGTTGTACTTTTTTTTACAATAGTCTTTCTGGTCATCTATTTTCTATTATGATCTCTGCTATAAATGCCATTACGCGGCGATGGCTGCTCCCCGAGCCCAACACTGTGGCAGAGTAGAGGAGCTACAATGCTCCTCTACTCTGCCACAGTGTTGGTGTTGGTGAGGTTTATCAAATGGAAGCCATTACTTTTTCAATTTGTCTAAGTAAACAAACCTTTATTCGATTATGGTCTGAATGGGTCAGATGGGTCAGATAAGAACCATATTTTTGAGGGCACCTGTTTATTTGCATCTGTTACTTTTAAAAAGTATATGAACTTTTAAAAAACAAAAAAAAACAAAATATCTAGTAAATAGACTGGAACACAGTTGAAAGTACATGTAACCAAAACGATATGAGAAGCTCTGAGGATGCTTTTAATATGTGCAGGGTTCACTAAAATCTTGGTATTTATTTATTTAAATGTGTGTTTAAGAGTCGCATATTGCAAAAATGAGATTCTAGTAAGACCTGAGACTAGAGATTGGTTCAGGTTACAATGACCTCTTTATCTGTTAACAGTTTCCTAATGACAAAAGTGTTTTCTTCTGAGAGAAACCAGTGCTCATACGCTTAGATACACATAGAAATAAGGTGTGTGTGTGTGTGTGTGTGTGTGTGTATAGACGCAAAGCTGGGCGAGGCAGAGGTGTGGACGTCGCGGCAGGCTTTGCAGGACGTGTATCAGAAGATGCTGGTCAGAGACTTGGAGTATGCTCTGGATAAGAAGGTGGAGCAGGACCTGTAAGTACGGCTTACATCCCATTCACACCGCACACGTCTTCTGAAGTGGTGCGCGTAGGAGGCCTTGGGGCTGCTTTCAGATCCGTGCCTTTTGTAGAAGCCTGGAGCAAGGCGCACAGTGATGCAGAATTCAGTAAAATATAATTGTACTAATGGTCACAAATAGTGCTGTTATATTATATTATATTTATTTTATAGAGTTATAGAGTAGTCCTGAAAACATCGTCTGCAATGCAAGTTTATAATCAATGTTATGCAGTATAGTTACATTTCAGATTCACCTACAACTGATCTCGCTCTGGTCTGTCTCTCTCGTCTGTCCCTGATTTCTCTCCCTGGTCTCTCTTTTTCTGTTTTTTTCTCTCTCTCTGTCTCGGTCTCTCTCTCTCTCTCTCTCTCGGTCTCTCTCCTCTGTGTGTTTTAGGTGGAACCATGCATTCAAGAACCAGATCACCACGTTGCAGAGCCAGGCCAAGAACCGCGCCAACCCCAACCGCAGCGAGGTGCAGGCGAACCTGTCCCTGTTCCTGGAAGCAGCCAGCGGCTTCTATACTCAGGTGGGTCACAGCACACGGCTCAGCAGTGTCAACACGTGAAAAAAGAAAAAATTCTGAACGTTTTTCTGGCATGGAAAAAGGTCTAACTGTATTAGAGCTGCACAATTTTTACAAACAAAAAAGCGGATCATCCTCCTGTATGGCGACCTCACTCCCTTCTCTGTGTGGAGTGAGAGACAAATTCCCAAAACAATTGTACAGCGCTTTGTTACTCTGGTTTGTAAAAGGCGATATATAAATAAAGATTACTTATACTTACTCACTATTTCTCTCACTGTTCACTGTTGAAGATTTGTCTGGAACAAATATCTTTGGTCTCTTTGGTCCCTCTGGTCTCTCTCTCAGGTTGTTCTCTGGTCTAACATGGTTGAAACTATAGGTTAGATCTCTTTAAACATATCCTATAATGTGTGCATATGTGTATGAGGTAATTGCATCATGTGTCGTTTCAAATGGAACTGTTCATTTTAATTTTTTATTCTGAACTTTTTCTCACTTTTTAAACCTATGTTAATATCTTTATTGTGTGTTATATGGTTTGTCCATAATAAACTCTGTGTATGTGTGCTGAGTGCAGATGCTGCAGGAGCTGTGCACAGTCTTCCACGTGGACCTGCCCTGCCGTGTGCGCTCCTCTCAGCTGGGCCTCCTGGGCTGCCCCCCCCCTCAGAGCAGCATTGTGACCCCCCAGCCCAGCTCCTGCTTCTATATATGCCAGCACTGCCTCGTTCACCTGGGGGACATTGGTAACACACGTTTACACATAGTCCAGCAAAATGTGCCAGTGCTATGGTATATTTTCTTTCTTTTTCTTTCTTAAAGGCTCTGTGTAATTTTTACAGTTGCTCCAAGTGAAATAACATGTTAACCAATAACAAACCTTTCTAAGAATATTTACCTCCACCATGTTTTTGAATTGTTGTCATAGACTTAGAATTTGAATTATAAATGTCCATGAGAGTTGGACAGCTGTCCAAGTCAATGCTCCATCTTGAAATATAAAAGGATGCAAGAATTGTGTTTCGTTTCACAGGTGCTACTTATAAAGTTGCTTCCACTGTGTTCTCACAAGTTTGAAGTAGGAACCATGGAGGACCACAGTTATGTAAAAGAGCTATGGAGGACCGCAGTTTTGTAAAAGAACCATGGGGGACCAACGTCATGTAAAAGAATGTTGGTGGGAGAAGTAGACTAATAACTTAATATAATATAATATATTATGTGTATATATATGAATGAATGAATGATCTCAACGCCAGATGGGAGTTAAAAACTACACAGTGTACCTTTTTTATAAAGCCTTTCTAAAAGACTTCCAGAACAACATAGTTCAGAGAAATCCTGGTTGGGCAAATTTTTTTATCCCATGGTCAGTGAGGATTCCAATGCAGACTACTACTGGTCTCTCGCTCTGGTCTCTTTTTCTGGTCTCTCTTAGCCTGGTCGTACCACACCATAGTACAAATTACATTTCGTACTAAGGTCTGGAGGTGCTCCGTTTACAGGTGGGAGGGGTTACCTACTTTTGCAGATTGAAATGATTGGATTTGAGTTTACTGTGACGTATGTAATGCGCCCGAGTGAGTCGTTAGCATTTAGCCTAGCCATCTCCTTTGCCGCTAACGGAGCCCGTGGGGAGTAGTACCACAATTCATTTTAGCGATTTACATTTGCTAAACATTTCTATTGCTCCGGCTTCAATTTATTGATAGAACCAGACCGGATTACGTTACTATCGCATTTTTCGCTATTGCCAAACTACGACCTTCCCGTTTGACGCAAACTCTTGACGTCACCCACAACTAACTACAACACCTGCCTTCCGCGCTCGCTGGTAGGTCTGTCGAAATTCAACCGATTATAATCGCTAACATAGGGACTAGACCCAGACGTTACATGCAGTGAAATTATGATTTGAGCGGAGTGTACTGATGGCTAAGGCCTGGCTAGGTCTCTCTCTCTGGTCTCAATTTCTGGTTTCTCTCTCACAATAAAACTTTAAAGTAGCAGTATGTAATATTTGCATGTCAAGTCATTATTAAATGGCCCCTCATATTTCAAAAGGTGTTATTAAATCATGCTCTCGAACATTTTTAAATGATAAGAGTAGTTCAGCCGAGATATTTGATTATCAAAATTAGTTTTACGACCCGTAAAAGTTATTGTTTTCATTCTGATGCCCTACCCTTCGCCGTTTCGACAATTAGGAAGTCTGTGATCCGGGTTGCCAGAACTCTGCGCGGCTAATCTCACTGGTAAAATAACATGTGTCCGCAGAACTATAAAAGGTCTTGTTATGACTCTCAAATTATTGATGACAAAACAAAGACTGAAATGAGGATTTATATCGGGACGCCGAGACAGTGGATAAAAGTTTTCATGTGATGCAAAACTTGCTCTGAGTGCGTTCTTCATGAACGGTTGAAGTTCTTGCATCCACAGCAGCATTCACTGTGCGCTCAGGTGGTCTAGTGGTTAGGCCACTGCGTTTACAGTACTAGTAACAGTGAAATTTATAAAAGGGTCCACCGAGTTAATGTGTGCTGAAAATGGTTCCACTTCCTGTTTCTTTAACTTAACCCATGTATCGTCTACATATCGAAACCAATGGCTTGGCACTGTCCCTTGGTAAGAGACCAGGGCTTGTTCCTCCAGTTTCTCCATATACAGATTGGCCACTATAGGAGAGACTGGGGAGCCCATCGCACAGCCATGAATCTGTCTAAAGAAGGTGCCTCTAAATTGGAAATACGTGGTGTTAAGACACATTTCAAGTATTTCACAGATGTGGTCAGCTGTTAGTTTCGTTCTCTCCCCTAGTGTGGCGTCTTTCTGTAGGCCTTCTCTTACAGCCTCCACCGCCTCTGTAATAGGGACCGACGTAAAAAGTGATGTCACATCAAACGAGACCATTGTCTCATCTGTGTCAAACTGGAGGTGTTTGATTTTATTTACAAATTCTTTTGTGTTTTCTATGTGATGGTGGGTGTTACCCACCAAAGGAGCCAGAATGGTTTTGAGGTGTTTAGCCAGGTTGTAGGTGATAGAGTCTATGCTACATACAATAGGCCGAAGTGGAAAGTTTTGTTTGTGTATTTTTGGGAGGCCATAAATACTGGGGATGGTGTCTCCTGGGTAAAGTTTGTAATATAGTGGTTTTTCAATAATGCCCTCTTTCATTAAGTTTTGAAGGAAGTCTATAATCTTTTCCTAAACCCACTGATAGGGTTCCTCTTCAATGGCTGGTACGTGTTGGTGTCCAAGAGTAACTGATTAACTTTGGCCTCATAGTCTGAGCTGTTGAGGATAACTGTGCATCTGCCTTTGTCAGCTGGTAAAATAGTTATATTCTCATCCTTTTGTAATGCCAATAATGCTTTTTGCTCATCCAATGAGACATTGGATTGTGGGGGCTTCTCTTTTTTATGTGGAACTTATACATGTATGTCTAAAAGATAGGGAATAAATAAAATTGAAAGGTGATATTCTCTGGAGCAAACCTTGACGTTGATACGATGAAGAAATACGTTCCAACATTCATTCTTCCCACTCCTATTTTGGACATCAATTGCTTATTTATTTTCCATAATCTATAATTACATTGCTTTTATTTTGTTTTTGTTTATTTTTATCTCAAATGTCCAAATAAAAAAAAATAAACATTTCATTCGAAACATTCATTCAACATTAGCACAGCTCATGGCAATGTGAGAGACGGACAAACAACTGATAAAATAAGTCCTTGTGTTTGCTGCTGGATTTGGTGTGTATCTGGCAACCTGAGTCAGGGAGAGTGGGAGAAGACTACAAAATATTGACTGACTGCAGTACCACTTTTTGGCCAGATTTTTACATACTGCTCCTTTAAGTAACTCTTTCTGTATCACATGTTCTTTTTGAACAAGAATATGATGTAAATGAGCTGAAGACTCTCTGGAGTCCCTCTTTGGTCTCTCTCAGAACTTTGTAATAAAGCTTTACACAAGTTCTCATTGTGTTTCAGCTCGTTACCGTAATCAGACAAGTCAGGCGGAATCGTACTACAGACACGCTGCTCAGCTGGTGCCATCCAATGGTGAGTGTCCTTCTCAGATAAAGCTGCGCCTGTGGTCATCAGGGAAATGGCCACAAAACACAATCTACTGGTCTCTGATCTCTCTGGTCTCTGATCTCTCTGGTCTCTGGTCTCTCTCTCTCTGGTATCTCACTCTCTCTGGTCTCTCTCTCTGGTCTCTCTCTCATCTCTGCACCCCTACTCCAACCACAACATGGAAACATCTATTTCCAGGTCAACCCTACAACCAGCTGGCGATCCTGGCCTCGTCCAAAGGAGACCACCTGACCACCATCTTTTACTACTGCCGCAGCATCGCTGTGAAGTTCCCCTTCCCTGCGGCCTCCACCAACCTGCAGAAAGCCCTGTCCAAGGCTCTGGAAAGGTGGTTTCCATGTCCCCTCTCATCAGGCGCCAAAGCCTGTGAGCTCTCTGCTAACTCTCCCTTTTTCCTTGCAGTCAAGGGGGGAAGAACATGAGGAGCCTGTCCGATTTTGTCAAAGCTTTTATCAAGTTCCACGGCCACGTCAACCTGAGCAAAAGTGTGGAGAAGCTGGATGCACTGAGGGACTGGCTGGAGGAGCAGTTTCAGGTGAGCAGATTCTGGGACTTTGTTCTCTTCATGACTGGAACATGGTGGGTTTAGGGCGCATTCACATTGGTCTGGCTCACTTTAACTGGGCTAAGCTCTTGGTGGATGTAAACTAGGGATGTAAATCGGTGACCGTTTAACCGGTGGTTGACCGTCAAAGCTGTCGGTTAAAAAAAAGAAAAGGGGGAGAGGGTAGGTCTCTTAATAACGCAATTTTAAGCCCTATTTGCACGGTGTGACGAGCAGGTCCGTCTCTAGCTGTGTGCGGCAATGTATTAAACCGACTTTCATGCTGCACGCGCCACAAACACACACACACACAAATGCATGCGCGCACAGACACACACCCACACACTTTCCCCCCCTCCATTGATACGTAACATCCACACTCATCATCCATACTCTCTTCCGTCTCTCCCCTCTGTTCAGGTCAGAACTACATTAGAGCATACATACATATACACACACACACATACCGGTCTGTCGCTCTCCTCTGTGTCATGCAGCCCAAAGGATCCTCGCAAATACGCGGCTTCAGTCAAACCACATGGAATATGTTTGTGCTGATGGTCCTTGGCATCAGGGCCACACACATCACTTGTATTTAAACTTTAGAGGAGACCTGCAAGACGCGGCTCGTCACTCGCTGCTTTTACCATGTAAACGAGCCGTCGTTAGCAGCTAAAAAGCTTTAACCCGCTGCACAGACGAATGGGAAGATTATAAAAGCCGTTCGCTGTGCGCAGTAGTGCCGAAGCTGTTGCAGGTATCGCTCCGTTGTCTCTGCTCTGATCTAGTAGAACGCATAGCTGCACTTATGTAAAGTGCGTGGCTCGAAATGGCTGTTATTTCAAAGAACGTGGAATATTTTAAACTACGGGGTTATCCGGTTTCAACCGGTTAATGAGGCTCTGTGGTCGGTCATGAAAATTCATAGTTTTTTACATCCCTAATGTAAACCCACCACACATTTGTCAACTTGTTACTTAAGTTTGTTTCCATCCTTTCAAACAGATCTGTGACATATTTTCCTTAAGTGAAACAGACCATGCCTGGTTAAAGTGAACCAGCCCAGTGTGAGCGCACCTTTTAAAGCCTAGTGTATAGTCGCGCGGCACGGAGCTTACGGTGGTGACGTGACGTCACTTGTGCAAAGCGTGGATCACCGCAAGGCTCTTATGTAGCCTGCTGCGCACCCTCGAAAATGTCTAACTACGTAAGGGTTGCCGCTAGGAAGCTCCGCTGTGATTGTGTGTGCGATTACTTTCTGGGAAGCATGGAGCGGCTGCAGGGAGCATGACGAGGCACTTCGGAGCAGACTGCTTCGCGCTTCGAAGGAACAGAAGGAAAAGCTGTTTGGGCTCATGGCAGAGCCTGATATACTCGGAGACTGGACTGTTCAGTTCTGTTGCATATCTAACATATATATAACTTATAAACTATGCAGTCGTTTGTTTTGCACTGTTCCTGTCTTTTTTTGAATCTGCACTCATAGCTTATCACGTCTGTTGCATTCCTCCTGCACTTGTAAATTGTTCATGTTCTCTTTATTCACAGCATCACAGTTAAATGAGTTGAAACGATGAGTCCATAGAACTGTCACATAAACCTGCAGTAGAAACACATGTAATGACCACACGCGCTGTGATTGGTCCCACTGGGTTTCAGAGTTTTTCCTTGCCAATGCAGGAGGGTCTGTTATGGCGCGTTCAGACCGCCAGCAATGGAACGCACCTTCTGTGCGCACCAGACGCACGTTCTCTAATTTTCAGACGCAGGGGTGTTCAGACCAGAAGTCCTGGCCAGCGGTGGCACTCGCCGTAAGTGGCGGAAGTAGCGAGCGGACTTTGATGCCAACGGAGTTAAGCTAGCGGCTTTTTATGTAAAGTTTTCTAATAATGCAGCTCTGCAGCGTCTCTGTGTCCAGAGACCTTCCAGAGACTTTATTTAACAGCGGTATGTGTTAACAGAGGTGCGCCATAAGTTTATTTTATTATTAAACGGTACTTCGCATCGGCGAACACGCATTCAAAAATAAAACTAAACTCAGTTTTCATATAGGAAAAAAGTGCTTCTGCAACATATAAATTGGCTGCTTTCTCCGTAGTGTACAGTCGCAGGGTTTTTTGTATCACAAAGTAACGCCCCGATTGTAATTTCTGGTGAAACGCCTCACTTTGGTATCAAATAACTTGAGTTATGTTAAGTAACCTTAGGTTTCGTTATTAGCTGGGTATGAAATTCACAGTCTCTGGTATAAAGCCACGTTGTTGAATGCCGACAAAACATGTCGTGTCACAGTTGGAAATTCCACGGACTCTGACGCTACACCACCTTCTTTTCTACTCTACACATGTTTATAGCAGTCTCTGCTGCTAGCTAAGCGGCGCCACTGCTGTGTTGAATGTGACACACGCAAGGGGAGGGGCCGGGGCCGGGGGAAGCAAACACCTATGTAAAGTTTTGGAGCTGTTATTGATGATGTGTGATGCGTCTCCAGAGGCTGATGCTGCAGAAGGCCTTCAACTCTCAGCAGCTCGTCCACCTGACTGTGATCAACCTGTTTGAGCTGCATCACCTGCAGGAGCTGAGCGACGCAGAGCAGAACCTGGGCTCCGAGCACCAGACCAGCTGGACACAACTGCTGGGCCTCTTCAGTAAGCACACACACTATACAGGCTACAACACACACTACACGGTAGGGCTGCACAGTATACCAAAAAATATTGTCATTGCGGTATTAGTAAATTTGATATCCATATCGAAAAGATGTACATTTCTTGTATGTGTGACAAGTTGAGGCATTTGCGCGCTCCTAAAGTAATGACAAAATAAATAAAAGAAAAACCAGTAACGCCAGGGCAGAGTGCCCAAAATAAAATAAAACGCGCTCCTAAGGCGCACAGGTTTCGTAAACCATTAAGAGGCATAGGCAGACGTAAAGTTACTTTGATTTATTATGTTATGTTAGTTAAGTTTTCTTAATTGTTCTGTGTTGTTACATTTCACATTTATATTCACACGAGCCCATCTTCCTGTCACGATGGACTCAGGAGCACAGGTCAACACACAAAAGAACACAACAGGGAGAGAAACGAGAGACAGCGGGAGAAACGGCAGAAAGCGGGAGAAACAGCGGTGGGCTTCGATGTGGCCAGTCCCCAACCTATGGATTATAGTAGTCACTACAAGGCACAACACAATGCTCCTTTCAGACACTTAAAACCTACGTTAAAGCGAATGCTGAGCACGCACCCTTGACGGTTGACCGTCTGACCCAAACCCACAGCCGGCTACGACACGCTCTGACCCCAGCAACGAGGGTAGCCAGACGCCAAAGCGAGAGTACAGCATGGCTTCACAGAAGCAGGGTTCGCCGGGCACAATGCCACACCGCGGCACTACAACGGTTAACATTAGTGGCTGCAACAGACAAATATTAAAATTAACACTAAAACTCTACTACCTGGAGCAGGAGATGGGCTGGCCGGAAGTGCAGAGGTAAACAAAAGACGTAACTCTAAGCCAGCCATTCCCAAACTCAGTAACACCGAGGCCCCCTTAAAAATCTGACGGGTCTGCGTGGCCCCCCAAAATAATAACCAAGAAGACAACATTAAGAATAGGCTCTTCTGGTTATTTTATTTTGGGGAAATAGCCTCTGCTACAAACATTGTAATACAAAAATGATTACAGTGGATTATTCAAGTCAAATAATGAACACAAATATTTTAATATTACAAACAAAACATTATAAATTTAACATTAAATAATTATATTTATTTTTTATTTTTTTTATGACCTCCCGCGGCCCCCCTGCAGTACCCTCGCGGCCCACCAGGGGGCCGCGGACCCCACTTTGGGAGACACTGCTCTAAGCTATTTATACTGCCCGTATGCGCCCTCTGGTGGACACAAATATGGTGGCCAAGTCCAGCTTGCCACATATGCACGTTGTGACGAATCTGCGACCTAGTGCCGCCGCACGCTAGAGTGAAGTACACAGAGAGTGGATGATGATGAGACAAATGCAGAGAGGAAATTGTTCCCAAAAGATATTTTACCTCCGGAATTTGGAACTATTTTAGATTTACAAGACGGGACCAATCACAGAGTAATCACATAAGTAATTTGCAAGGTATGGCAAAAAAATATTTGCTACATCAAAGGTAAACACAACAAATCTCAAGAGCCACCAGCACAACCACAAGGTAATTTATGCTGTTTATGAACTATCTAAAACCCCACAGCCTACTCCGGTTAAACGAGAGTCAAATGCATTAATGACAGTTTTGCTTCTATAGCTCCTTATAAGAAAACTTTGAAGCGACCCAAAGCTTTAACTGCAGCCACTACACGATCTTTAGCGAAGTCCACACTCTCCGTTAATACTGTGTGTATGGAAATGGCAACTTTAGGCAAGATTTGAGGGAAATATGTGTGCCATAGTGCATTTGAACGCAATTTTTTTTTCCATATATATTTTATTGAGATTTTCAATGTAATACAACACACAGCTTCAGTTAACAATTTAACAGAGTTGTTCAGTACTACAAGAATTTAATATCCATCCATCCATTTTCTACCCCTTAATCCATTTCTGGGTCGGCGGGGTGGCCACAGATACCACCCCGTACACATAGCACCAGCCCCTGACTGATCCTCCTGCAGGTGGTGAGTCCAAAGGAGGAAGGCCGCTCTATGGTATTGCCTTGATCTTTCAGCGGGGGCTTCAGGTAAAGTGGGGTTAAGTGTCTTGCCCAAGGACACAATGACAGCAGTCATCAGTGGGAGTCGATGGAGAAGGTCTCATGGTGGGCTCAAACCCACGACCTTCAGACTCAAAGGCCAATGATTTTAATATAAAACCTATAAAATAGAAAAAAAAAAAAACCTAAGAACTTACAGCTTCTCTTCAAATTAGAGAGTAATCATGTCCAAACAGTGTAAATAACTGCAATGTTGTTAAAATAATAATTTGTCAGGTTGGCAGAAAAGTCCAAGTCCTTAAAAATGTCAATAAAGGGTCCCCAAATGTTTTCATTTTTCAAATGTTTTTTTGACTTATGGATGTAGGTTTTCCTTTCTAAAGGTAGGCTAAGTGACATCTGCTTTAACCACTGGTAGGCACTAGGTGTGTTAATATTTTTCTAGTTCAAAGCTATACATCTGATCAGTGAGCTGAGGTCTATAAACAGGGGTGCACATAAGTGGTACGCAGTTCAGTTCAGTTTACTTGCCATTTGCAGTAACAAAACCACATTGGAATACATTAGCAAAAAGTCACCAGTGTGCACAGACAAATACAGACATAAAACAACATTAAAAGACAGAAATAAAACAAATAAAACAGTAAACAAATGTCACTGTGAAATCGATCGGCTAAAAACAGTTTCAAAACAAGTGCAAATCATTAAAGTGCTCTGTTCAAACAGATAACAGGTACGCATGTGTGACAAATATCAGAAATGCGTACTATCACTTGAGTTAGTAAGCGCTTTTGTGTACTTCACATGGACCAGTCCTTCTCAAATAGTGGGCGCTCCTCCCTAGGGGGGCGTGGTGCAATAACATCCTCCGTTCTGACACCGGGAGAAACTGCGGCCGCATTGACAGCTCAGCAAGCGCACGTGGTCATGTACCGAGCGTGGACCGTAGACTCGCTCGGTACAAGACCATGAACATAGATCATCCCCGTCCCCAGGTTGTTGCATGTGCGGGTCATGCCTGTCCCCCCCGTCTCTTCCCCGTCTCTCCCCCATGGCTCTCCCACGTCTCCCCCAAGTCTCCACACGAAGCGCAACCAAAACTCACAGAATTAAACCTCAGGTACTTAACCTTTCGCTTGCATTGAAAATGCTTATTTGTGCACAAAAGTAAAATTTTGTGACCAAATCAAACAGAACAAACCAAAGCAGTCTTGTTTTTTATTTTACTTAAGAAAAAGCCCTTTGAGTCATTATTTGACTTTTTGGGCCGAGAGTGGATTTTTAGAATATTTTTTTCCACATAGTTAGTGCCACTTAATTGCCAAACTCTTTTTGACTTATTGTATTGAGAAACATGTGTTAGTTTCACAATTTTATTGGTTGTTTTATTACCTTTCCTGTGTGGAAGTTTTGTATTATTCTACTGAAGGATTAGAATAATACACTGCATTGATATTGACAAGTGTCAGCTCTCAAATTCTTTTGAAATGATGTTTCTATCTGCTCCAGAGGCCGAGATATCAATCATTCTGTAGATGTTGAATTTCAGGAAAACCTGAGGTTTTGGAGGTGGTTCTGAAGTCGGCCGTAGGTTTTACAGGTCTGTTTTATCAGGTGTGTCAAGCCTTAATGGGTTATTTGACTTGGATTGAGTGGATTATCTGAGCCGATCTAAACTTTAGCATTAAAAAGAAGCAAGTATAAAATCTCTAAGAACCGCGCGACAAATGAGTACCAAACACCATGTCCTGGTACTCATCTGAGTACCTCACTGAAAAAGTTCTGGGCACCCCTGTCTATAAAAGTGATTTCTGCATTACTATATTTATGTTTATCTGGATATAAAGCCATTATGAAAAGTTTAGGATCCAGTGTCATTTGTTTAAAAATGATTTTTTTTCTATTACATTTTTTACTTACGGCCAAAAGTACATTTTTTGCTTAATTTTTGTTCAATGTTTGTGCGGTTCAATGCAGATTGCATTTTTGGGTGAAAGACAAAAATATTGTTATAATATCGTTACTAAATACCAATATCAAATATCGCTCTAATTTCCAATATTGTGCAGTCCGACTATACAGGCTACACCACACACTATACAGGCTACAACGCACACTATACAGGCTACAACGCACACTATACAGGCTACAACACACACTATACAGCTCTGGTCTCTCTGGTCTCTTTCTCTCCTGACATGTGCTCTCCTCTTACTGAAATTTCTCCACTGTGAGACTAGTAAAGGTTTATCTTATCTTATCTCTCTCCTTAGTCTGACGTGTGCTCTCCTTCTCTTCTTTCCAGTGTCGTTCCTGGGCGTCATGTGCAGCAGAGCCATCCTGAACCAGTCGGAGAGCGAGGAGCTGCCGGGGGCAGAGTGCCCGCTGCCCGCCATAAAAGTGTCCCTGGACTGGCTCCGGCTGCGGCCCGCCCTGTTCCAGGAGGCAGCTGTGCACGAGCGCAAACAGTGAGTGCAACATTCCATCTCTGTGTTCCAAACACTCCAACCGCAGTGAGCCGAGATATACCTCTGTTTAAATGTAGGAATGCACAATATATCGGTATAAATATCGATTACGCCCGATGTTCATCATTTCTTAACCTAAAAACGGGCCAATAACCACAGCCGATGTGTATTGCTGGCTTGCAGCTGACGTCACGCAGCGCCGCAAAGTCCTCCGAGGGAGTGGAAGTAAATCTCCCCATTAAGAACAATGTAAATATTCACTGTTTCCGAGTCATAATGCTCTTTTTCTGTGGCGTGTACAGTTGTGGCAACTGCTCATATCAAGTGGGGAACTTATGGAGTCTCTTTTTTTGCTACAATGTATTTCACTAACGGGTGCCCAAAAAGGAACGGAAGAAATGCGTTAGCATTAGCCGCCTGCGTAGCATCTGCCACAAGCACAGCTGACAGTCCGCAGTTTTCACTTAGCTGAATTTCAGAGATACAATGCAGAATTTTTGTGTGGGATACGGTTGTAGTATCCGAGGCAACATGGAGAAAGAACTGTAAAATTTATTTTCAAATGCCAATGGTCGTCTTAAACCAAGGTGTTCCAGTAAAAAAACTAAAAGCAGGCTGTACAATCTTAGATTCTAAGCTGTTAGTTTACTACTGCGGAGCTTCCGCCCTGTAGCTGAAGTCCGAACGTTTTATTATTTCCAGCTCAACAAATCCCCAAAATGACAATAAAGGGTCAAATTTCTCGCCTCAAATATGGCTTAAAGTAAAATTTGTGCACTATTTATAGTATTATTGATCAGAACTGTCATCTTGGACGTGGTTCTGTTGATCCCAGAGTAACGAGCTCCACTATTGTCACTTTAACAGCCGCTTAATCCTCCTCATTGTTGAATAAAAATGACTCATTCAAACATTGCAAGGCGTACACTGCATTGAAAATAAGTTTTCACTCAATAACTTATTTTCAGGTGAATACTGGCATGCTTGATAACTTTTAAAAGTTGGTTACACTTGTTTTATGGTAGACTTGTTACCTTGGTATTTGGAAATGAAATACATTCTGTCAGAATGTATTTTAATTCCAAATACAATTCTGAAAATGGAGAAATTCAGTGTGTACAAACATCTCCAGATTTTTTATTTAAAAAACTTATTGATATTGGTTAATATCGGTCATTGGCCATAACAGAAAAATTAATATCGGATACCGAAATCGACCAAAATGTTCATATCAGTGAATCCATAGTGACGTTTGATGCTTCTACCATCATGATGCAGATGTGTGCCATGTTTGAATCCCCAAGCAACAGTTGAGCTGTTCAATTCACTTAATTCTCAAGTTGTAGCCTTAAAAATAAGTTGTAAAACTTGTCTAAACAAGTATTGTAAGTTGTTGGTTTTGGCTTCATTGGAATTGTTTGGTTTGTGAATAAAAGCATTGTGCTTTTTTTGATTGAAATGTTATTAACTGTTGATGGGTGCTACGGAGTGGGGAGGAGTTTGTGAGAATGGTCCCATATTCTCACATTCTCACAAACGTGCGGGGAACCAGATGTGTGCTCTCTTCGGCCACTTCGACCTCAGACCCGGTGTTATGTGTGCAGTTCTGTCAAGAGGATAGCTCTTTGGCCAATCACTATCAGTTTAGTACCAGCTTGGCCTGAATGGAACTAGGACCAAGAAGGACCTGGTACCAGTTAAACAGGGTCAGTGCAAACAACATGAGCCCCGTGTCCGATAACACATGGGTCTTCTAACAGCTCTCTCTGGAGTCACATGGTTCTAACAGCTCTCTCTGTAGTCACATGGTTCCAACAGCTCTCTCTGGGGTCACATGGTCTCTCTGGAGTCACATGGTTCCAACAGCTCTCTTTAGAGTGACATGTGAGGGATTGTGTGTTGTTGCAGTGTGTGGCCGTGGCTTGTGTCTCTGCTGAACGGATTCCAGCCCAAAGAAGAGGACGTGTCTTGTTCCTCAGGTATTTGATCTTCACCCTTTTAAAATCATACATTGTCATTTTGCAGTTCAATTATGAATCATGGAATGATGTGTGCTATAAATAAACGTAGGTCCTAAAGTGTGTGTGTTTGTCCCAGTGGTGCCTCTGCCAGAGGAGTTTGAGCTGCAGGGGTTCCTGGCCCTGAGACCAGCTCTACGCACGCTGGACTTCAGCCAGGGCCACCAGGGGGCACTCCACACCAGGCACCAACGCCTAGTCTGCCTGGGCAAGTGGATCGCAGACACACAGCCTCTGTAAGTAACACTTATTAAGTATTAATTAAGCTCCACCCCACATGTCACTGTCTCTGTCTTTGGCCCTGTCCACACGAAGTCAAGCTCAGGCCTAAACGCAAAAATACTTTATCAATCCAGTGTATCGTCCATACGAGGCCGGCGTTTTGGGGGGGTGTAAACGAACATTTTTGAAACCAGGTCCCAGAGTGGAAAGATTTCAAAACTCCGTATATGCCGCTCCGTGGTTACTGCCTCACCGCAATGTATCTGAGACGCTTGCGTCATCGCCCCGCCTCTTGTTAAAGCACGCATGCGCCGCACTCAGAAAATAATGACAACAGCAATGTAGCTTGTTGGTTTTGTAATCCAGTGTGACCCGAAGCAACAGTTCAACCTCATCGTCCGTCCATACTAATGTAGTACCAGCTCGCCCACTCGCCATGTTGTCTGTTTACAAAATTCCGCGCATGCCCACGGAAGTTTGGGCTTGATCCCGTCATTGCGTCACAGCGCCACCAACAGGTCTGGCATAGTTTCACAGCGTTTTCAGGCGTATTGACTACATTCATATGGACGCACACATTTACTGAGCTAACTCCGTGTTTACAGAAAAAGTTTCTGAAATTATAAGCGTTTTGTCTTCGTGTGGATATAGCCTTAATCTGTCTCTCTCACGGTGTCTCTTGCTCTTTCTCTGTACTGTTTGATTTAAAACAGTTAAAATACATTTTATACTACTATACATTCACTCCATACACACTGCGGATAACTACTGTAGCTGCGGCTGCCCTGACCTCCAACCACCAATCACTCCTACTTACTAATGAGGGTGAAGTGTCACACAATGACAGTTTGGAACTTGACAGCCGCAGCAGCCTCACTGTTGCACCTGGTGTTCCCAGAGGACTCATCACTCTTTCTTTCTCTTATGTCCCTCTCTGTATTTCTCTGTCCCTCCCTCTATTGCTCTGTGTCTCTCTCTGTCGTGGCGTACATTTTTGCTCTGAACAAAAGAGACTTTTTAAACAGACAGAATGTGGAAAATCACATCACATTGTTGGTCAGAATGATCAGATACTTGGTGGTGATACATGGTGTTGAAGCTCTAACGACGGCCTCTTCCTCACGCCAGGCTGATGCAGTGCCGTGCCTCCGACAACGGCCTCCTCACCTTCCTCACGGATCTGCCCGAGCTCCCTATCGACCTGCCCCAGGAGAAGGAGGTACTCCAGGAGGCCGGCCAGCACCACGACTCCTCCAATGCCAGCTCCAAGCCCTTGGTGTCTGCGCCCAAGAGCACCAGCGCCTCGCTCAAAGAGAACCTTAAGCCGCGCGAGCCGGGCCGAGACACCCCTGCACGCGGCCTGCACAGGGAGCCCGCCAAGGAGCGCAGAGACCTGTGCAAGGGCAGCACTGCGGCCCCCAAGATTGAGCCCAAGTGGGACGCCAAAAAAAAGAGCGACGTGAAGAAGAGCTCACACGACAAGATCATGGACTCCAAACAGGTGCGGCTCTCTTCCTCGGTCCCACACCACTGGACCATGAGCAGTCTTTGGTTGTTATGTGGCCCGCTGCTCATAACTCATATATTTCTTCATGGCCTTCGATACCAACAATGCCCGCATGCTGCGCAAAGACACGCAGTCTTTGTCTTGAGCGAGCGCGCTAATGCAACGTACGAGTATGATTGCCATGTCTACAGAGCCAAAAACGATAGCTTTGGAGCGAGGGGTATGGGGTTTGAACCATGTGTTTCCTCAGTGAACAGTATTTTTACACAGCTTTTTGTTGCACTATGTTGGCTTTTTTGACACGTTTTGTTTCAAGAAATGAAAAAGCAAAACAGAAGGGCATAGACTTGGCAGTTGGCACACAATGGTTGTTTGCCAAGAAGATTTAAATGTTATAGATATTTAGAGGAAGGTAGCTTCCTGTAACTTGAACATACACCGAAACCTAAACATATGTTTTTTTATAGTAATTGGGAACCTACAAATTGAGGAAGACAGTTTGGCACATATTGGTAGAAACTGTGCCAAAATAAGTTCAGAATGGCCCTAATTGATCAAAACTATAATATCTAGATTTCTGAAACTTTAGACTGTTGTTGCCAGATAAAACATTACCATTGAGTTTAAATATTATAAGTTTACATTGAAGTATGCCTTTATAAATGTAATATTTTAGGCCAGGGTGAAAACACTTTGTGCATGTGATGTGCAAGATGTTTAATTAGCAAAGACTTTTGGGTGTTCCCAAGTGCATCAGCCAAAACGAGGTGGATGTTAACCAGTTAATGGAGACATATAACACAAAGTATTTGTCCATTAAAAAAATTGACTTGACTTTGTCATTTCATGTTTTAGAATGTGAAATATCTTCAGTAATATATAGTGGAACAAGTAAGGGTAAAAAATTGCGATCTGCCTGTAATTCCCTGTGCTTTCCACCAGAGAGAGCAGTGTCTACAATACTTCTGTTTAGTGTGACGTCATCATACTGTTACAGGACTGAGACGTATACAGGTTTGTGCCTGGATGGATCTAAAACAAACTCCAGGTCTGTGACTGATGAGGAACTTATAACATGGTTATAAGCTCAAAAAATATGATTTTGTGAAAGCTCTCTTTAAAAGAAATATTCAACATTTGGGCCTTCAAGGGTTTGGCGTCACTGCCAAGCGTCCGCAGGGGGGACAGTCAGCGGGTAAAGTGGATGTGGTTGATCTGATGCCAGACTCTGATGTTTCCAGGTGAAAGTGCAGCCAGAGGTGAGGAAGACGCCTGTGCCTGAAGTGAAGAAGAGCCCGGTGACCCCGACTCAGAGTCTGGGATCCTCCACTCAGTTCATCCACCACCAGGGGGCGTTCCCCCCTCTGCCAGGCCGCCCAGGTGTGTGGAGGATATACACACAAACACACAAGGCCACACACAAACAGACCCTGGTGGACAGAGCCCTGAGGGGCCGAGCCTTCTGAATTCTGCGGGGCCCAGCCTTTGCTGCAGCTGCTCCCTCTGCATCTCTATTCAATGCTCCCAACGCTATTTCTTTGAGCTTTTTATTTGTGTTTTTTTTTTCACATTCTTATGATGATGATTATTACATCCATTGTGTTTGCATGTGTCTACGCAGGCTTCCCGTCCACCTACGTGCTGACTCCTTCGGTCCCCTTCCTCCCCTTCCCCACCGGGCCCGTTCCTGGGTCTGGCCACTTTTTGCCCCAAGCCCCCCCTCAGGCCAAACAGTCTCACCCCACATACACCCCCCAGCGCTCCCCCCCTCTGGGCTCTCCAGCAGGACAGCAGCAGCAGACCCTGGGAAAGAGCCCTCCTCACCGGGGACTGCAGCAGGTACAGCTCTGCAGACACACAGATCAGCATAGACTAACAAAGTCTCATACTCTAGAAGATATTTCTGTGGGAGCCATAATTTTTTTTTTTTTTACTGTGATATGTGAACAAGAGCAACACAGTGTAATATTATTATCATAATACATTCTTTTGTTAACTGTTTATACTGAAGAAATCCAATGAATAGAACATTCCTATTAATGATGACTAAGATTTGTCTGAGAGCCAGACACAATCATAAGAGCCACATCTGGCTCCTGAGCCCTAGGTTCCTGATCTCTGCTCTATGGTCTTGACACTACTTTTGCTCTCCCAGTTCCTACAGGGCCAGAGCTTGGGCACCAAGCTGTCCCAGATGCACCAGATGCCTTTAGCCCTGCAGCAGCAGCAGCAGCAACAGCAGCAACAACAGCAGCAGCAGCAGCAGCAGTCCCTCTTCCTATCCCCTGATTCCAGCATGAAGCAGTTCGATGTGGACAAGAAGTTTCCCCCCAACATAAGCCTGCAGAACGAGCGGATGTGGGACTACCCCGACCCAGCTATGATGGAGCGGCTGCGGAGGGAAAGGGAGCCAGAGCCCCCCCGGAGACAGCTTCCCTTCCAGGTCAGGAGAATGAGCTGCACTGTGTCTCTGGCAGATTCTGTCAGAGCCTGCCGACTACATATACATACATGAATAGTCGCAACGGGGGCTTTTCAATAAAATCCACTCGTTTTTGGCCCTATCTCGGGCTGCAACAAGTTCATCAAAACAAACAAGTTTTATTATAACTCGTCTATTATTCTATGTTCTGTTCCAGTATTTTCACTTCTACCGCTGGATACACTGTCATTTTCCTATTTCCTCCTGAACTAAAATCAGCTGTTGGCGATATCTGTTGTGCAGTGGACTAATATACAGTATGTTTGTGTTTAGCTTGTCATTGTGTCGAGCAGTAGGCTGCACTAGAATAATAATTTGACCAGTAAAATGGGGGAGGATATATATTGCGGTTCGACCAATAAGCAGTAGAGATACGAGACATAAAACACCTCCTTTTATTATGTGCTCAAACCAGTTAGAGGTACAGTATGTAATATTTTTCTTTCAGTCAAATGTGTAGGAGTTTACTTTTACATGCAAGTCAATAGGAGCCAGGAAAGAAGATTCTGGCAATGAAAGTATGAATGACTTTAGAAGACCACTAAGAGCGCTTACTACATACTGTCCCTTTGAATTTAGTAGTTTCTCTTTCTTTAAAGCTCTGACTTTAACGTCTCCCTTCAGAATAAAAGTGTCTTTATCGCTCCTCCACTATTGCGTAGAATCACTTCTCTGCTTCTGAGGTCGACCGCTCTTGGATCTTTGCTGCTTCTTCAATTCGTCTGTCTTCTTTCTCGCCCTCTACACTGTCTGTCTGTCTGCACCCCTCTGCTCGCTCGGCCAGGACCCAAAGTCGTCTCCTTTGCTGCCTCCGGACTTGTTAAAGACCCTAGCGGAGTTCGGCGAGGACGAGGGCCTGGTCTTTCCCAAAGCCTCTTCACTTTTCCACGCCTTGGCCTCTCCTCTCAGCTCCGCTCCTGGATCAAACCTCTTCGTATGTAGCTCCTCTTCTTCTTCCTTATTCTCTCTGGTCTTTTGTGCTCTCAATCAGAAATGTGGTTCTATATGAATAAACTCTCCTCACCAGTGACAGTTAGTGACAGTTTTTACCTTTTTTTTAAAAACAGATCAGGAATCTAAGTGTAAATATAAGGAGGGTTTGCAGATGTGAAATTGCATTTTTTAACTATTTATTAGTAAATCCAGTCTGTTTGACCGTCTCTCTCTGGTGTTCTCTGGTCTCTTTCTCTGGTGTTCTCTGGTGTCTCTCTCTCTGGTGTTCTCTGGTGTCTCTCTGGTCTCTCTCTTGCTCTCGCTCTGGTCACTCTCTGGTCTCTCACTATGACTCTCACTCCCACTCTCTCTCACATGAACCTTTCCTAAGCAGGTCTGTAATAGTGTGTTTCTGTCTCAGCCTGGAGTGGAGAGCATGAACCAACAGTCGTCTCTGCTGCAGGGGTTTCCTATGCAGGTCTGACCCGTTCTTCACCCTCTGTGTTTGCACACATTTAGGACATAACCGACCATCTCATGGCTGGAAATAATCATCATCTTGCTTATAGTTTTCTCCTGTTTTCTTTGGCCTCACATCTTTAGAGGAGCTTTTTCAGACAAATAAGTGATAGACTACCATAGCCAGTCAGATCTCAGCCCAAAGAGTCCAATGGTGACTCTCAAAGCTCTTTCAAAATCTTTGTTCTCACCGAATCATGCGTTGCGGCGAGTTTCAATCCGAAGTTATAGGTGACCTCCACCCATGCGAGGAATTCCATGGACGTCTTTGCATGCACGTTTGTCCGGCGCAGCAGACACCTTGTTGCAACCATAGACTGTATATATTGATGGACAGAGTCACGCCTATCTCTGCCGTTCTAACAAATGGGCCAAAAAATGTGCTCTACTGGAGCAAACAAAAATGGCCGCGAGTGGTCCCGCCCACAAGAAAATTGTGAAAAAACGCATCTGCGCATGCGTCAGCCGGCGCAACTCCATTCATTTGAACGAGACACTTAAAAAATTCACAGCAAGTAAACCAGAGTGGACCAAAAAATCCCACCCCCCTCAGCATTGACACACATGTGGAACGGAGCTTTGGGCCAAGAGCCAACTTTTGGTCCATCCTGTAAAGACGTTTTTGAGAGGTCTGCCAATGCTATATGTTAGCATTCTACTTCTGGGTCCACCCCCATCGGCCCGGGGTGGTATTGCAAGCATGTCAGCGCACGTCATTTTGGCCACTTTTGAGCTGGGACCCTCCCCCACTGGTTGCAACACAGCAGAGGCGGTTGGTACGGCAGCTCAATGTATGCAGTAAAAGCAGGAGATGAAAATCCTCGCTCCACACACGTGCGGCAACCAATCAGAGAGCAGCAAAGTGGTCACAGGGACACATGCCGGTCCAAAAGGGAAGATGAAGTCACTCAAAAACAACCAAAACATGAACTAAACCAGGATTAAACCAGCGCTGACAATGGGAGACGCGGTGCATGTGAACATGCAGTATGTCTTCACTCTGAGTTGACATCTAAAAGTGCTGCTAGCGTGTTCGCCCATACGGAAGTAACTCGATAGCATCAAAACCCGCCCACCACTTCCGCTCTGCGTTTTTCCCCTACGCAGGACAGCATGTACAGTGCCTTGCGAAAGTATTCGCCCCCTTGAACCTTTCAACATGTCGCCACATTTCAGGCTTCAAACATAAAGATATAAACATTAAATTTTCAAGAATCAACAACAAGTGGGACATAATCGTGAAGTGGAACGAAATGTATTGGATAATTTTAACTTTTTTAACAAATAAAAAACGGAAAAGTGGGGTGTGCAATGTTATTTGGCCCCCTTGCGCTAATACTTTGTAGCGCCACCTTTTGCTGCAATTACAGCTGCAAGTCGCTTGGGGTATGTCTCTATCAGTTTTGCACATTGAGAGACTGGAATTCTTGCCCATTCTTCCTTGCAAAACAGCTCAAGCTCAGTGAGGTTGGATGAAGAGCGTTTGTGAACAGCAGTCTTCAGCTCTTTCCACAGATTCTCGATTGGATTCAGGTCTGGACTTTGACTTGGCCATTCTAACACCTGGATACGTCTATTTGTGAACCATTCCATTGTAGATTTGGCTTTATGTTTTGGATCATTGTCCTGTTGGAAGATAAATCTCCGTCCCAGTCTCAGGTCTTTTGCAGACTCATACAGGTTTTCTTCCAGAATGGTCCTGTATTTGGCTCCATCCATCTTCCCATCAATTTTAGCCATCTTCCCTGTCCCTGCTGAAGAAAAGCAGGCCCAAACCATGATGCTGCCACCACCATGTTTGACAGTGGGGATGGTGCGTTCAGGGTGATGAGCTGTGTTGCTTTTACGCCAAACATATCGTTTTGCATTGTGGCCAAAAAGTTCGATTTTGGTTTCATCTGACCAGAGCACCTTCTTCCACATATTTGGTGTGTCTCCCAGGTGGCTTGTGGCAAACTTTAAATGAGACTTTTTATGGATATCTTTGAGAAATGGCTTTCTTCTTGCCACTCTTCCTTAAAGGCCAGATTTGTGCAGTGCACGACTGATTGTTGTCCTATGGACAGACTCTCCCACCTCAGCTGTAGTTATCTGCAGTTCATCCAGAGTGATCATGGGCCTCTTGGCTGCATCTCTGATCAGTCTTCTCCTTGTTTGAGATGAAAGTTTGGAGGGACGGCCGGGTCTTGGTAGATTTGCAGTGGTCTGATACTCCTTCCATTTCAATATAATTGCTTGGCTTTAAAAATCCGGCTTTAAACTTCTCCACAACAGTATCTCGGACCTGCCTGGTGTGTTCCTTTGTCTTCATGGTTCTCTCTGCGCTTTAAACAGAACCCTGAGACTATCAAAGAGCAGGTGCATTTATACGGAGACTTGATTACACACAGGTGCATTCTATTTATCATCATCAGTCATTTAGGACAACATTGGATCATTCAAAGATCCTCACTGAACTTCTGGAGTGAGTTTGCTGCACTGAAAGTAAAGCGGCCAAATAATATTGCACGCCCCACTTTTCAGTTTTTTATTTGTTAAAGTCTAAATTATCGAATAAATTTCGTTCCACTTCACGATTGTATCCCACTTGTTGTTGATTCATGACCAAAAATTTAAATTTAATATCTTTATGTTTGAAGCCTGAAATGTGGCGAAAGGTTCAAGGGGGGCGAATACTTTCGCAAGGCACTGTAGATTGACTAAACTCATGCAGCTGATATTTAGTGAACTTAAGTCCATGCCTTCATTAACGCTTGTCCATGTATCAGCGGTGGGAACACAGCTTTACACAAATGTTTTACAAGACTTGGATAAAAAAAGTGTTGGAGAGATAACAGAGAGGGAGACACCAGAGAGCGAGCGAGAGAGGGAGACACCAGAGAGTGAGCGAGAGAGGGAGACACCAGAGAGCGAGCGAGAGAGGGAGACACCAGAGAGCGAGCGAGAGAGGGAGACACCAGGGAGAGAGGGAGAGAGGGAGACACCTGAAAGAGAGAAAATAGTAAACACAGTTACATTTGATGATAAATCACTGTCTCCACAGCTCAACCAGAACAGCATGTTCAGCGGGTCAAGTGGAAAGAACCTGCCGTCCGGCTCCAAACCTGAGGCCCCCATGAGGCCACAGGAGCCGTCCCAGTACACTCTGTTCAACACGGCCTGGCCCCCACCTTTGACCGCCAACTCTGGTGAGAAAAACACCTCTTTATCAAGACACTTCACCCACATTGCTTAGAATGAGTCTGGTGTAGTGTTAATTTTGACAAGAAATTTTAATTTTAATTTTAGTCTTAGTCTTTTGACTAAAAATGTATTTTAGATTTAGTCATCAAAAATATTACTTGCTTGTAAACTATGATGAAAAATGTGACATGAATAGCTTCATTACTTTACTTTATTGTTCGTGTCATATGAATGCTACATGTACATTGGAGCAATCTTGTTTCATGTAATATCATTTGGCACAATAAAAAAAAATAAAGTCTAAGCAAAGAAATGTTATACATTCTTTGGTCTATTTTTGGTCTTTTGACTAAAATGTCGATCAATTTAGTCATTGTTTGCGTCACATTGAATGACTTCTATTTTAGTTTTTGTTTACTTTTCGTCCCCAAAAATATATTCGTGACGAAAGAAATGACAATAATAAACTAAATTAACCCTTGTCTAGTATGTGTGTGAATGGTTGGTGGTGGGAGGGGCTGTTGGCACATACTGGTTGCCTCGCTTCTGTCATTGTGCCCCAGTGCAGCTGTGGCTACAGTAATAAGTTTATGGAGTGAATGAAAAATGACTGTTCTTTGTTCCCTTCAGACCACTCCACTCCGGTGAGCCAGTCCCCTCACTCGTCCAACCCTAGCAGCCTGCCCTCCTCCCCCCCGACTCACAACCACAGCACCCAGCCCTTCCACAACTACGGCCCCATCGGGACCTTCGACTGCAGCCGTGAACGGCGTCTCGTCGACCGCTGGAAGCCCGACAAGAAAGGTCTGAGCTCTTTATAGGAAATGTATATGTGTGATTTATCAAACCTGAAACCTGGTAATGTTCATTTTCCTATAATATGGTATTACAATCACATGCGTGTTGTTAGGTCCTGGGAGTGGTTTTGGACTGGACTACCTGCCCTCTTCCTTGTCCTCTGAGTCTAGCTGGCCTCAGAACAGCTGGACCAACCAGGAGTCACCAATGGAAGAATCCACAGGGCTGCCGGACGGACTCAAGGTAACACTGACAAAGGACTCAAGGTAACATGGACCAAGGACTAAAGTCGTAGATCCGATGTGTTTTAACTAATTGACCAGTGGCCAAACAGTCCTGCTCATATGTGTGAGGCCTCAGAGACCAGGGTATGGGTACTTTTGACCTCACGTTGCACATTGATTGGTATAGTGATTGTCATGACTACTTTTTTACTAGCCATTTTTCGCCTCACTCTCGCGTTCTCTCTCTCTCCATTTATATCTCTGCCCTCTTCCCTCAGTCCTTCTGGTCTAGCTCCATGATGCAGCCTGGGCCCTCAGCTCTGGAGCAGCTCCTGCAGCAGCAGAAGCAGAAGCAGCAGCAGCAGATGCAGATGCGCGCCCACGGCAACATGATGAACCCGCCGCACTGAGCCGAGGCTCGGGCTTATCTCACGTCATGTCCGCAGGAGAGCAGCGCTTCTGAGCTGGCTTCAAGACGAGAAGCGGCGCAAACGTCCAGCAGGAGTGGGCCGTCATGGCTTCACACGCAGCTACACGGACGCAGAGGTGGAGGATTAGCAACACGGAATTTCCCAAGTTTCCCTCAAAAACACTCGGGAGTCATTCTGGACTTGCGTTCCAAAATGAGGAAAATAAAGATGGTTATGGGTATAATACCAAGTTAAGATTGTATCATACTTTTAGCCGAGTTTCTCTCTTGTATCAAAATACTTACGCTCTCACGATAACGCACTGGAGCAGAAAGTCTGAGAGGAGATCCTCCAGGTGCAGCAGCCGCACACACGGCTTGGAGACGGAGGAGCAGAGGGTTGTAACTGTCTTGCGCCCAGATTGTATCATACTTTTAGCCAAGTTTTCTCTCCTTGTATCAAACCATTAAAGCTCTCACAAGAATGGACGTCAGCAGAGAAGCAGGACCACACACAGTCCAATGCGAGGATCTGAAGATTCACGAAGGAACAAATCCAAGGCTAGTTTAATTCTGAAAGGAATTGGACTTGTAACAGACTCCTCATTTTTGTGACATACTTTGCAGCAGGGGGAAAAAAAAATCTAGTTTTGAAACGTTTGAGAATGTAGCATGCGCAACGAGGACGAGAGAAGGACACAGAAGTCAAGGGGACAAAACGCTGCCGCTCTTTTGTGCATTCAAACGTCGATCATCAGCACATGTTTGTTCAAATCAGAAGACGGTAATCATTCTTAAAACCGCAATAAGCTCGAGAAATGACAATATTCTTTTGACGACTTTAGCACTTAAACAGGACACAAACCATTGGATCTGTGTTTCAACAGTGGCTGAACGATGGTCTCTCAATAATGGACCTAAAGACATTAAAACATGTTTACTGTCTGGATACAGCTGCAATGAATTCATCCTATTAATACGAATATTCCATTTGGGAGATTTTTTTCTGATACTATAGTTGTTTAGACCAGTGTTTCTCAACCATGGGTAAGCAGACCCCTTTAGGTACGCAGGAGTGTTACAGGGGTCACACTGATGGTAAGAAGTTGCTATGGGCTATTGTGGCATGTTATAAATCATTTTAAAGCTAAAGCTCAAGAAAACAACTAAAGTTATTGTATTCTAAACGTTGAACCCAGAACATTATATTAAAAATTGGTCGACCAGTCTGCGAAGCCTTTCTTACTTTTGGTCTAGTTTCGGGTCAGCCCAAGTATGTGCTCATTTTGTTCTAAAATGAGGTAAATAATAGTTTTGTTATTTGGTCAAAATATCTACATAATGTAAACAACTGCTAAACAGTGGTCCCTGTTTTTTTCCCCCAGGGGTTATGTGTTCTAAAAGTGAAGTTCTTGAAGTAGCAGCTGTATGTTTTAGGCCTGTAAAACCCTCACACACACACGTTATACACTTTTCTAACCACCTGAACTCACCACTACTGAAGTGCGATATCAAACTTGTGGGTTGTAGGTCTGAGCTGCTGCAGCTGTCAAAAGCCATGTGCACAGTGTAAAATACAGCTGCAGGGGACACTGAGGGGCAGGAAAAGGACTGCCAGAAAGGTTTTTGACTTTAAATAAATGTAACTGTTGTTATTCTACCGGTTATATTATGTATTTAATGTTGCTGGGGAAAAAGCATGGAACAGTCAGGCCCTAAAAGATGAACCGTGTAGTAGCGACGGACCACTGTATAAACAAAAGTAATGAGTTTTAAAAGTTTCCGCAAAGTAAATGATGGAAACCTTGTTCTTACAGTGAAGCCTTATATTCCTGCTAATAACGGATTCTTGGGACCTGTACGCGGGCCAGGGGTACACAGGGAAAAGATGTTGGGAACCACTGGTTTGACCCGTCTGTCTGAAACTCGGACCCTAACGCATCGAACGCAACCTGTTTTATCATTTTCTATTTTATGTACTATTTAGCGAACCGTGCCCATCTGTATATTGTTCTCGCGTTTACCAAGCATTAGGTCTGCGGTGATTGGAGTGGACGGCGCGACAGTCCTTGTGCTCGTGCTCTTTGTGTTCTATCGATCTATCGCTCTGTCAGCCGCTGGGATGGGAGACCTGCCTTGGTCGCCCTGGGGCAGAATAGGTGGCACTTTGTTCTACTGTGTTTTGTGTTTGTCGCCTCAGCCTTGAATAAAGTCTGTCCTGAACTCTGTTTTGAGGATAATTTTTAATTCAAACACATGTATCCTGAGTTATCCTCTATAACAGTCACATGACACCTGTGTGTCCTCTATAGTGGTCACATGACAACAGACGCATTCATGTCCTCTGACAAATCACATGACGTAATCCTGCGACTTGATGCTGAAAGGGCTTTCGGCAGACTTCAAGTTTTGGAGAGGATTGGATGTGGGTTTTTTCTGTACTGATTAAGCAGGTTAACACATGTATGATTCAAGTTTACTAAATACAACTGTAAATCTTCAAGTGCCCACCTGGACTGGACTTTCCATCTCAGCCTCCGCCGCCTCTGCGCTAAACTTTCCCCAAACTCCATCCTCCTCCAGAGCGCGCTCCCGCTGTGTCCTGCTGCGCGCTCCCGCCTGGAGCCACTCTCCCTCGGACAGGAGCAGCGAGCGGCGTCCGCAGCGCTAGCCCCTTACCCCGGCCGCACTTTAGCCTCTCTCCCCGGGACTTTCCACACGCTCCAAGACTCCCGCGTAGTCTCCTTAACTTTAACGGCCACTCCTATCAACTTTTACAGGGTTTAAAGTGGATAGAAGAGCGGAGAATGAGCCCGGGCTAGCAAGTTTCGGGGCAGTGTTAGCTTCGCAAAGGGACCAGTCCAGACAGGGGACGGTGCTAACATATGTAGCCCGCTATGGAGCTGGACACAGCGGCTATGGACCTGGATTGGCTCCGCGGGGACCCGTTAATGGACAGGCTGTTGGAGGAGGCCGTGTGCCAGCAGCAGGGATGGCTCCGGATCCACGGTAAGTTCAGGGGAGTTTGGGGGAAAGTTTACCCGGGTGGTGGTGAGTGCGAGGCGGTCAAAGAGCGAAGTGCGCACGCTGAATGAGAGTCCGCTGTCGGAGCACCATGAGTTCCGAACTTTTGAGAGCACAAAAACAACTAATAAAACCCATGTCTCGAGTTTCCACATGCATGTATTGTTGGTCTATGTCACATCTTTAGATCAGCTTTTTCAGACAGAAAAGTCCAAGCTCTCCGTATGTATAAGATGTTTTCTGATAAGATGAAGACAGCGTGTTGTCTAAATTTGTTCACAACATTTTACAGAAACTTCCTGTTGGGGTCAACTTGTACGAAACCACAGAGACTCAGGTACTCCAGCATGTCAATGTAAAATGAACTGGAGCATTTAGAATGTCTAATGGGAAATGCAAATGACTAATAATGTATCTCAAAAGTATCAGCTGGTGATGCTTTAGTCCTGCTTTAGCCCTGCTTCAGCCCTGACCCATTTCAGACCTGCTTCAGTCCTGCTTTATATCCCCGCTTTTGTTCTACTTTGACACAATCTTACTGCCATATCCAAATTCTGTTACATTTTTGGACAATCACCTGTCATTTTGAACATGCATTAAAGCTTGAATACCTAACTTTTGTTGCTCCATAAAGTGTTTGTCCCACTCCCAACAGAAAGTCTTGTTTTCAGTAACATTTTGTAATGAATCAGACCAAGACATGCTGTGATCTTCTTATTAGAAAACAACACCTGTTTGTAATGTGTCCAAAAAAGTGCTACATAAGTTTTTTTTTAAAAAATTGTTATTACATACTGAAGGCTGAGTGAGGGTAGTCTTCTGTCTTAAAGTCTGAAAAATCTGATCTAAAGATGTGACGGAGGTCAAACATGCATAAAACAATAGAAGCAAACTGTTTTATAGGCAGAAACTAGGGACGTTTTTGTTTACTCAAAGTTAGGTACTCCAGCTGAAATAGTACAAAATAGCAGCACGTTTATGGTACAAAGCATTAAAGCTTAAACTTGTTGAGTTATTGGTCAAAGTATTTCTAAACGTCAGATGTGATTTTCTTTGTTTTGTGGTCGGGTCTGAAAACCACTTAATCACAACAGAATGTCCATCTTCTACAATCCATTTTCTATAAAGCTTATCACTCATTAACGTAATACATTTGCACAAAACTGAAGAAGCCGATGAAGACGGTCTGACAGACGGCAGACCTGGACCTGAACCAACGTTTTCCGTTTTGAGTCTCGTCTAAGTCCAGTTCCAGCCGTGAGAAGAGACTTTGTGGACGGTCTAAAAATAACCCAGGGTATAACTGGACCCTTTCAAACTTGTAAACAAAATATGTGTAGGCTAAAGTGAAGTGCGGTATGTGGGGACATTGCTTTAGACCTGCTTTAGACCTGCTTTAGTCCTGCTTTAGTCTTGCTTTGGACCTGCTTTAGACCTGCTTTGGACCTGCTTTGAACCTGCTTTATACCTGCTTTAGTCCTGCTTTAGTCCTGCTTTGGACCTGCTTTAGACTTGCTTTAGACCTGCTTTGGACCTGCTTTAGACCTGCTTTAGACCTGCTTTAGACCTGCTTTAGACCTGCTTTGGACCTGCTTTGGACCTGCTCAGTCCTGCTATAGACCGGCTTTAGTCCTGCTTTAGTTTTTGTTGAGTTCCAGCTGCTGTAGAAACCTGAGCTCTGGACAGATCTTGTCGGTTTTGTTCTGATGGTGAGTCATGTGACGGCAGATTCATCTTGTTCTTTTATCCATAATTTATATTTTGACCATTTGAATCTTCACAAGGGATGTATCTAACATTATGTAATGATCAATTAATATAATAATTATTTATTTGATTATTTGAGAATGAAAATAGGACATTTCTTTGTGAAATGAAATGCTATTTGGGTGAGAGACTGGAGAGAGAGATGGAATCGGAGTCTCAAAAATGTTACAATGTTGTTTTTGTTGTGATTTGCTAATTGCAGCGTGTCACATGACTTCAGCTTCTGCGTAGGACGTGTGGAAGTGTCAGCTCTGAGTCAGTGTCCACCGCTGTCCTCACGCTCAGCTTTTCCACTGCTCGTTTCCTCGGTCACTATTCTGAGCTCTCACACTCAGGGGTCAGGCTCTCGCATGTGTGCATATTTCACTCCAGACTCACACCACATGTCTGAGACTGAGCTCTGTCCAGTGTCTGTGGCCACCTCTGTGTCACTGCCTAGCTCAATGAAGCCCGATAGGGAAGGGCTCATGGACGAAGTTTGGCTCCAACTCACTCTGACGCTATTTTAAACCTGAAAAATAAATTAAGAAATCATTAGATCATTGATCATTTTTTTTCACTTTAGTTCCCTCTTCTCCTCCTCACTTTTGGGCTGTTTTGCTGTGTATGCAGTTACAGCCAGCTGCCATGGTGCTGTGTTTACCTGCGCTGCAGATGCTAGCGGAGGCTTGGCCTGTTTGCAACTAGCGTCATGTAAAGTTTCTACTCAGCACTTTTTATGTCCTGAATTCATACACCAGCTGAATCAATTAACTCAAATTTTCCATTAAATTGCGGGTTTTAATACAACTTGTATGTAGTATAACACATTTTTTATGAACTCATTAGAAAATAAATCAAATATAGGTCCTTGCCGAGTGGGTTTCAAGTGACTGCAGACCGTTTTCTGTTACTGAACAAGAGGCTCTTTTTACTTTTTTCAGAGGAAAAAATACTGTCTACTACAGAAAGACAGAATGTTGATAATGTTAATGCTTAATAAATTTTATAATAATTTTATGTGGATTTATTGTTATAATAAACAAATACTGCACAAATGTACACTATCTATGTATTTATCTTTCCATTAAAATAACCATTTACAGAAAATTATGAAATAATTTTGCCGATAGTTTGAAAGGCAATTAATTACGATTAATACATTTTTTTGTTGTAATTAACACGATTGAAAATTGTAATTGTTTGACAGCTCTAGAAATAATACGGTTTTCCTTCTCTTCATTAAAAAAATAAAACCACTCAACTCAAGGTAGGCAGTACATATAGGAACAAAGTGCTTCTGCAACATTTAAGATAAAAAATCCCTGATTACATAAATGGTACAGAACTTTTTTTCCAATTCAGCTGCTCTCTCTCCGTAGCGCACAGTTGAGTTCTTATATTGCAGTAATGTGAGTCTGTAAATTGAATCTGGGTTGTGTTTTAGCTGCATATAAAGTTTACGGTCTCTGACATAAAGCCATGTTCAAGGACTGTAATTGGAGCCACGCCCGCCGCTGTATGAAATGCCACGGACTCTGATGCTACACCACCCGGCACCATCCTACACTCCGTGATTTTTTTTAGACAAGTTTGTTGCCCATGTTTACTATCTATGCCCCTAGCTAAGCGGGAGCCATGCTGTGTTGAATGAAACGTTCGCAAGGGGAGGGGGAGCACAGCACAGAGAAGGCAAACGAGCAAAACGGCAAAAGTGAAATATAAACATTTCGTTTTAATATAATATGTCAAAATGTATATATCATAAATATCGATATATCATCCAGCCCTTCTCTAAGGTCTAGACATGGCCTTAAACATGCTGAGATGATTTGTCCCAGTGCAATAAGTGTTTGAAATTGCATTTGGACAGATGGGCTGCGGATGGAGTTAAATTGTGTCAACATGGCAAAAAACAGGTGTCTGACTGTTTCTGCAGATCATGTTATTGTACCACTATTAGCTCAAGGTCCTTGTGCTCTGTGTGTTTACTGTAACCATGCCAACACAATGAATTCTTGCAATATTTGTGAGCTGACATGTTGAGAATCCATCTCTGCTGTATTGACTCACTGTTCAGTGGCACAAGTAGAGCAGAGGGCAGACTGTGGACAAAACTTTATCTCAGAGGACTTTACGAATTTGTGGGTTCATCGAGGGTTGGACGATATGGAGCAATTGATATAGCTTGATATACAATGTATATCTTGATACTTTTACAGGATAAATAACCTCCCCAAAAAACTACTGCAAAGTCAAATCTGCCAAATTTTATTCAAAAATAAAACAACTTAACTTAAGGCAGACAGGGCATAAAATGTTCATAAAATGGATCATCACTGCCCTTAGACCCTCCTGCATCCACCACTCAAAAACCCAGTGGGAAAAGGTGAGAAACCTCGAATAGGAGAGAGCGAGTCCACTCCCATGGACTGACAGGCTGTAGACCCAGGACTGAGGCTGTAGACCCAGGACTGAGGCTGTAGATCCAGGACTGAGGCTGTAGATCCAGGACTGAGGCTGTAGACCCAGGTCTGAGGCTGTAGACCCAGGACTGAGGCTGTAGATCCAGGTCTGGGGCTGTAGATCCAGGTCTGGGGCTGTAGATGCAAAACTTTGACTTTACTACTGGGATAGGTGAGCGCAGCAATTTCAATTAAGATAAAGTTAAAGATAAAGTGCAATGGTCTGCGAGAATAGGACATTTAAAAAAAGTCTGAAATGCATGATGTCAGCCAATGGCTGTCATTAAATCTACTTTATTTGTTCACATCATTTTACTTTTGGACATGAGCTGTAATGCGAGGGAACATTTTGGTATCCCAGCTTTAATTTAGCTAGTTTAGTTGCGCTTCAGGAGGAGACACATGGACACTTCCTTATAATTCAGCTGAGAGTTTCTTGCAGAGGTGTATTTATTGCGTGCACAGGTTGCACAAAGACACACACACAACAAACAGAGAATGGTCCTGTGTGTGTCTATGGTCCTGGGAACATTATGGCTGCGTTACGGTTCACAGCTGCTGGAGGTAGGAGCTGCTGTCATTACAAAGCGACCACAGCTGCGGCCACGGAGGATGCGGAATCCCTTCTGAGTACATAGCAAACAACAGCAAGTGTCATGCGCGCCCCCCTCTTTCACAAAAAATAAATTTTCATTCTTTGTATGAGGCAGGCAGACCGGCCAAATATGGGCATCGGTACGCTTGATGGCCAGTCCAGCCCTGGGTGAGAGGCTTGGATCTACAACAGGCCTCTTGTTGTGATTCATCAGTGTGTTCAGTCTGCTCTGTGTGGGTTCATGAGGATGGGCCATGCTTACTCAGTGACAGATCTCCGCTCCGCTTGTGCAACATTGCTGTTAGTGGTTCTAAGCCTGGATTAGTGTTGAGCAGGAACACCCCCTCCGTCTCTGTTTGCTCCCTGCCTACAGCAGCACTGGAGAGCAACACTCTCCAGTCGAACTCGAGGAAGACTACGGGGGCTGGAGTCCACTTTTGGAGCTGTTTGTTCTGCAGGAAATCCTGAGAGGAGCTTCTGTTCCTGCCACAGCTGCTGTACTATTGTCCGGAGCTCAGAGCTGTGTGTGCCGTGGAAGTTAGTATTAATATAGTGAACTTATTTTACTGAAATAACACACCAAAGTCACATAATGATACATGATTTTCCCACTGGGTTTCTGAGTGATATCTCTGATGCAGGAGGGTTTGATCCAGGATTATTATGAACATTTCTGGACAGTGGTTGTCCCGCTCCCTCTGGACCAATGGCTCCAACGTGTTTGTTATTATTCTATTTCCTGTGTTTGAACTGTTTGATTCTCTGATCTGTTGTTGGTGAATCTACAACTTTGTAAAGTCCTCAGAGACGACTGCTGGAGAGTATACACAAAGTGAACGTAGTGAGCCTTTATTTTCATATGGGTACAAAAAAACACACCATCAATGGTACCGTAATTACCATTTTTATATAATCTAATAATGCGCTTCAATAACAAGATTTTTTTTATTTTGATGATTGATTTTTGTACAATTTTAGTATGACCTGAAGAATCATGATTTATTGATTATTAGCCCATAAGCCTTACTATATTTAGACTCTGAGGCCTTTACAGTCATGTGGCTTGAGAGAAAGACCAGAGAGAGTGAAAGAGAGACCTGTGTATGATGACATCACAGGTGGAGAGATGAACAGAACTCTGTGTTATTCCATTTCTTAAAAGTTCTGTCACAGACTTACTGACTGATTTACCAGAAATATTTACCAAGGGTTCGATCTCGCACCAGTCAAAGCAGCACTTGTGGAAAACCGTCACAGTGAGGTCAGTCTAAATGCTTCACGTCTGAGCTGACTGACATAATTGAAAGCCGTGTGAAGCTTAAGCCTTTGACACTGCCCTCTGACCTTCTCCCCTCAGTCCTGGTTATTCCTGTCCCGCTCAGAGGAAGCCGGTGTTCTCCCTCCTCTGTCCCGCCAGCTCCTGTCTGAGGAAATGCACAGAATTCCACAGGAGCGTGACGTTCAAACCTCAGCTGACCTGCGGTCTTGCTCCCACGCCTCTCCAACACCTGCAACCCCCAACACTGGCTTTCAGAGAGAGAAAGACAAGAGAGAGAGATACCAGAGAGGGAGGGAGATACCAGAGAGAGAGGTAGAGACCAGAGAGAGAGGTAGAGACCAGAGAGAGAGGTAGAGACCAGAGAGAGGTAGAGACCAGAGAGAGAGGTAGAGACCAGCAGTACTAGGGATGTGGAGCCTTGTTGATATTGAAGCTGCAACACCCTCCACATAAAATCATACATCCTTTGTCTCCATGTGCAGCTTACTTAGCTACATGCTAGGTCATCAATGTTGTGGTACTGCTCTTGTGTTGTCTAATCCGGGAGCCACGCACTGCCTGCATAAACCGATGCAGCCGTTTGAACTCGAGCAAAACCACAGCCTCCTGCGAGCCCATTGGACAACTCAACCCCAGTGCTACTTCCTCTAAAACTACTACCCGCACTCTGAGAAAAGCGGAACTAACCAAAATGAGATTTTTGTGTAGCACTTTTAAACTCAGACTGGAATAAACTCAAACCAGCGAGGAAGATGTGTTCCAGCACGAGCAAACATGAGGGGCTCTTCAGGCGCCTATTCAGAACGCGGCAGGAGCGAGGCGGGAGACCTCAGATTCTACGGTCCATGTCTGAGCCGGTGGGACACAGTGCGGAGGAGAACAGACAACCTGCTTCTGTAAATAGCTTCAAAACTCTGCAGAACAACTCGGGTAGGGCTCTTGGTTCACAATACGGCTAGCCCTGAGGACATTTGCTCAGAGTAAAAAACTCTTCATAATAATGCATGGCTTTTATACAGCGTGTTTCTGGAGACTCAAAGACACTTCAGTCATTATTCCGTCACTCCAAACACGATGGTGATAAACTACTACTGTAGCCACAGCACACTGATGGAAGTGAGGCAACCAATATGTGCCATCTGCCCCTCACATCACCACCAACCATTCACACACACACCAGACTCATTCTAATGTTCGTGGAGTGTCTTGCCTATGACCACACTTTGCCGCTGCCCCTCTGTGGCACCCAGAGTCTCCCATCACAGTAGTGACTAGGTTCAGCCCTAGTTGCCAGTGGCAGCTGGAAGTCCAGTGGCATACTCTTAACACAGCTCGTACCAACACTGCCTTTTGATCACTGACTCGTTCATGTTCCGGGGTTTGATCCTAAGCTCTTCACTCTCTTGCAGATGTCCGTGGGGCTCCTACGCACCGCTTCTCCTGTGGACAGAGCACAGAGTGTGTGTGGCAGAGGAGGTTCTGCATCCTGACAGACTGCCAGCTGCTACTCCTGCCCAGAGACCAGGAGGTGAGCACCCAGCACCCTCAACTTACCACCCAGCACCCTCATGTCACCACCAGCACCCTTCACTCACCACCCAGCACCCTTAACTCGCCACCCAGCATCCACAACTCAGGCTGTCACTAACAATTAGTTTGTTATTGAGTAGTTTACGCCTATTTTTTTATTAGTCGACAAGTCAACTAGTAATTTTTGTAAAATTAAGAAATAATTTAAAACATGAAGCACTATGTGTAATTTGTATGTAGGCTTATATAAAACTAGTGCAGTGCTGGAGTGAACACAAAACATTAATTGATAAATTAGACAAATAAATCATGCACATGCTCAAGCCGTTTCAAACAATTTGATTTAATTTTGAATTGTCCTAAATAACAACAGGAGTTATCTCGGAGGACTTTACAAATCTATGGATTTACCAACACAGATCAGAGAATCAAACAGTTCAACACAAGAAATGCAATAATAATCAAATCTGCAAGCGGTGTCAAACGGCCGTTGCCGCACCACATTAAGGAGTCCGGGTGTGATTTTTGGGCAAAATTTGGCAAATTTTCATGCATGTTCAGGGGGTCAAATTGAGGCTCAAAGTGCAGAAGAAAAAAGAAACGAATAAAAAAAATTGTCCAACATCTCTTGAGCAAAAACAATGTAGGTTTCAATGGCACATGATACATCATTTTAAAGCGTTTGGGTTTACGCGCGCAACCGTCACATTATGGTGCGTGACGGGCACTAACGCATCCGTCACGCACCGCGATCCCTTGCATTCACCATTGTGAAAGCAATAGGCCCTTACCCAAGTCAGGGCTCGGGCCTAAAAAACACTTAGAGCTAAGGATGCACAGATTGTGATCGTTTGGGCCGATACCGATGCTGATCTTTAACATAACAACTTGGCCGGTGGCCAATGTTTTATCTTTTTGTTATTTATTACTTCTTTTGTGCCATGGAAATAAACAAGTCTGTCCGCTCTTCATCACTCTATCCTTGAATTAGCACAATTTCAATCAGACCAATTTATGAAACAGAAACAAAGACATTTTAGTAGTCCCCCTTCTTGAAATCTCACTGGAACACGTATTGCAACCTGCATCACGCTGATCTTTTTCTGATACTGTAAAGTATTGCCCCACTATCGCCGCCATCTTCTTTGTTTTTTCTAATAAGGAAAGTGCGTGGACGCAATGTACTATTTATTTGCGGATGGTAATTAACAAGGCAAACATCGGCCAATACCATTGGTCCATAAGACCCTCCTGCATCAACTCTCGAAAACCCACTAGGAGAAAATGAGAAACCCCGGGGAGGCCCACATAGAGGGAGGGGTCCGCTCCCACCAAAGGCTATAGAGCCTGGGTCTCTGGCTATAGAACGAGGGCCGAGACCACGGAATGAAAAGGGAAATAGTATTCCGCAGGTGCCCATAACTGTACAAATATATTTACAAATAAGCAGCCTGATAATGGCAGAAATACAAGACTTCTCAGCAGTCAAAATGAACTGTTTCTAAGTGACACAACAAACAAGCGCAGAAGAAAAGGGTTTCTCGCATGTTTCCCATGTTGTCTCTCTTGTGTTCTCATATTTACGGAGCCCAGAAGGGGGATTAAAAGAGATAATCTCCAGTTTGAGCTCCTCCACATGCAGATGGAAATTAGCATTGTGCTAAATCTGGGGCAGCCATCTTTTTAATGTACCTGTCCGTTGTCCTTTTAAATAAAAATAACTAACTACCCACTAGATTTCTGAAGTCTGTTCTGAGCAGTCTGTTACCTTCACTCACACAGATAGTAAACATGTCCCTTCATTCTGGAATATTCCCAAAGGCCCTGAAAACTGCAGTCATCAGGCCCCTGCTAAAAAAGAGCAGTCTCGATGCTACGGTACTTAACAACTATCGTCCCATCTCAAATCTGCCATTTATGGGGAAAGTCCTTGAGAAAGTTGTCTACCTACAGCTTACTAGATTTCTTATAATCAACAACTCATTTGATATGTTTCAGTCCGGCTTTAGACCCCACCACAGCACTGAGACTGCTCTCGTTAAGGTTACAAACGATATCCGGCTGAACACTGACGCAGGCAAAGTCTCAATCTTAATCTTGTTAGATCTAAGTGCCGCCTTTGACACTGTCGACCATGAGATCCTCTTACAGAGACTAGAGGACTGTGTTGGAGTCGCTGGCACCGCCCTAAGTTGGTTTAGGTCTTACCTTGAGGACAGGAAGTACTTTGTGGAGATTGGAAACTGTGTCTCAGATCATATGGCCCTGACCTGTGGAGTACCACAGGGGTCGATCCTGGGACCTCTTCTGTTCAATCTCTACATGCTGCCGTTAGGTCAGTTAATGCGCAGAAACGAAGTTTCCTATCATAACTATGCAGACGACACTTAGATCTATGTCTCACTGACTGCAGGAGAACATGGACCAGTGGACTCACTCCTTCACTATATCCAACAGATCAGTGAGTGGATGCAAAACAACTTCCTTCAGCTAAACGCAGACAAAACTGAAATGATTGTCTTTGGTCCCCAGAAACAAAGAGAGAGCGTCATCTGTCACCTACAGTCTCTCTCCCTAAAACCTTCAAACAAGGTCAGAAATCTAGGGGTAATACTGGACTCAGACTTAAATTTTAATAGCCACATCAAATCAGTAACATCAGCAGCTTTTTACCATCTAAAAAACATTGCCAGGATCAAAAACATAGTGTCTAAAGCAGACCTGGAGATTCTTATCCATGCATTTGTGTCCAGTAGGTTAGACTACTGCAATGGCCTGCTCACAGGTCTGTCCAAACAGGCTGTAAAACAGCTGCAGTACATTCAAAATGCAGCAGCTCGAGTCCTGACTAGAACCAGGAAGTACGACCACATTAGTCCAGTTCTCAGTATCTGCACTGGCTTCCTGTGGCTCAGAGAATAGACTTTAAAACAGCTCTGCTTGTGTACAAGTCTCTCCATAGCCTCGCACCAAAATATATTAGTGACATGTTAGTCCCATATGAACCAGCCCGGACTCTGAGGAGCACAGGGACTGGACTCCTGTTAGTGCCCAGAGTCAGAACTAAACATGGGGAGGCTGCTTTTCAGATTCATGCTGCTAAAATCTGGAACAGTCTTCCTGAAGATGTGAGACAGGCCTCCTCTCTGACAATGTTTAAAACCAGGTTAAAGACAGTTCTGTTTAACTGTGCATACAACTGAGGGATTTTATATTTTTATCTTTCTTTTTAATGTTCTGTGATAATTTATGATTTTAATGCTTTCTTGTTTTGTTCAGCACTTTGAATTGCCTTGTGTATGAATTGTGCTATATAAATAAACTTGCCTTGCCTTGCCTAAAAGAGATCCCCTTAAAGTATCTTGAGACCCTGAGAATATGTGCAGACTCAATTTTTAAAAAGTTTACGGAAATAGTTGGCAGTGGTGGTAAGTAGGCAAACATCCACCGGGCCCCATGGAATGGAACAGAGTGTGAAATTAACTCAACCACGTCCACAATTTCCAAGTAGTGCTTGCTACGCAGTAGTAATTGTAAAATGTCTTTTGCTTATATAAAACTTGTGTCTGAAACCGAGAACTGTTTTTTATGTCTTTATGTTGTCAAGTCTCTTTCAAAATATAACTCAGACATATAACTGGACTACGCAGTAGCCTCAACTTAAATAAAGGTATCTATAAATAATGATCTATACTCCCAGTGCTCTTTGTTATTATTATTATCATTCCAACCATTTTTTTGTTGTTGTTATTATTACCATTATTATTCATATATTTGTTTCCTTTCTCCCCATCTTTTAAGTCATCTGTAATCACTACTGACTATCTTTCCTCCCTTCTACCCTTTTGCCGCCTCTACCCGTATCTGTATGTCTACCTGTAACTGTTTTACCTGTATGTCGAATGTCCGTCTATGCGTCATTGATATTGGTTTATGTGAAATGTTGTTTTTGCTTGTCTGCGAATAAAAAATAAAAATAGACAATGCAGTATCCTGACGTAATAGCACTGCTAACTATTTCTGTAAAATTTTATTTTTATTTTTATTAAGTCTGCATATATTCTCAGGATCTCAAGACTTTCACATAAATGTGAGATAAATATCTAACTATTTGTATTTTCTTTTTTACCTCAACTTTTCCCCATGCGGTGCTCCGTATGTTTTGAACATCCTTCACATGTTTTATGCGTGTGTTGTCAGGCTCCAGCAGATCTGCGGGACTCTTTCACGGACCCGAAAGGACGCAGTCTTCGCCGCACCGTCAGTGTCCCTTCAGAGGGGCACTTCCCTGAGCTGCAGATAGAGGGCACACTTGGTAAGCTCATGCAGAGTCCTGGGGTAGAGTATTGTAGTCGTGCTTTAGTCCTGCTTTATATATTCTTTAAGTGTTTATTAAAATAAACAATATTTTTGAAAATGACAACCTTTAGTGTGTGTCCTATAGAGAGATCACTGTGGTTTGCACATAATTATAGTGTTTGTGGTGAAAAGCCTTGGGGATTAGGATGTTGTGAGAGAAAATGAGTCATCACTACCAAAAAACTAATTATGTTCTTGTACACATTTAAATACATGTCATTGGAACGATCCGCCTGAGGCTTTCACACAAGCCCCACTTGACTCTACTCTACTTTGCTCTGCTCTATTCTTCTCTCCTCAACTCCATTCTTCTCTATGGACATTAGACATTGGTAAAAAAAAAAAAAAGAAATACAATAGAAGTTGCTGACCATTGGTCGAAAGTAGTTTCCTCCGGAGAGTGACTGGACGGACCCTTGATCGGGTAAGGAGCTCAGTCACACAGGAGGAGTAGAGCCAGTGGAGATGGCTCAGGCATCTGTTTGGGATACCTCCTGGATGCCTCCCTGGGCAGGTGTTCTGGGCAAGTCCCACCGGGAGGAGACCGGGGGAAGACCCAGGACATTTCGGAGGGACTGTTTCTCAGCTGACCTGGGAATGCCTCAGGATTCCCGGGATGAGCTGGAGTAAGTGTGTGTGGAGAGGGAAGTCTAGGCGTCTCTGCTTAGACTGCTAGCCCCGACGACCCAGCAATGGATAAAGTGGAAGAACATGAATGGCTGGAGGTACAGCCGGCAAATGTGTGAACTCTCACTTCCACTTGCTCCCTGGGAAAGGAAAGTTACATGCACAACTACTGCTTTTTGCATAAATGGACAGAAAATATCAAATTGATGGTTTATATTTTACTTAATAACGATATCCCAAGGCTGTCTGAACATGTCATCAGGGTTTTGGTAACTGCTTTTTAAGGCGTTTTTCTCATATCATGTTAGCTGGTCGGTAAATCCTTCTTAATGCTGATGACTACATTAGTTTAACTCATTGTTACAGTTTCTAAGTACGTTTCTAAGTAAGTGGTTGCCAGTTTTTAAATGAAAGACAACTACTCAAAGGCAAAGCTGTCCTTGATTATAATAAACGCCCCAGTGACAGGGAGCGTGAGGGCTTCAGGAATTTACTTCCATTTATGTGAAAACGTATTATTGTTGTTTTTTGTGCACTGGAAAGAGATGCTCCGTAGATGTCTCTTAAAGGTAAATGTTGATCTGCGCTTTACTGTTAAAATAAAACTGTTTTATTTAGACAACTGGTCTAGAATGGAACTAATCGGCTCGCGCTAAATTAGCTTGTTAGACAGAAAACACGTTATACAAATCAGCTCCGGTCCACAGAGAAGAACAAGGAAACACGGTTTAAAAGTAGTAAAACAACTTGACGGATGGAACAAAGTTACAGAAGTCACAAAGAACTTAAGTGCGCAATGTCTGAACGTAGGTTTATGGCATAATCTGATAGAAAATGTTTAACGAAGTAATATTCTTGTAAAGGCAAGCTAAAAGATATCATTATAAGGCACTCAAAAGTAAATTTGTCATTTCTGTTCTAGCTCCTCATGTCAATAAAAAACATTTTAACCATCAGTTTTGTCTTTACCTCATAATAAACTGGATGCTACACTGTATTAGAACACACATAAGAGTTATAATAGTGTTAGCTAAAGCTTGTTTATACGTCTGAATGTGAATAATATCATTGTGTGCGTCCCACATTGATTCTACATATAACGCACCCCACTAATACCATTATAATGTCGGTCCCACTGCGTGTTTCTGCGCAGATTTCAGACTCGCATTATTAAAGTAGAGCCATTTAAATCTCCATCACCGATACTGTCAAGTGAATTCTTCCGCGCGTGCTTCCTTGTTGACATTCCGACCAGAGTGTGTTCCAAATGGTTCCAAACCCGTTTCCCCAGTCGGACCATCCCAGTTCCCCACGCAGGCTGCGTCATCAGCCAGACACGCTGCACTCTGGTGACCTGTGGGCGTGTATGCAAAGCTGAATGAACGACGACCCAACATGTTGTAATGTTTGTTTTTACGCGCCGTCTGTGTCTGCGGCGCTTGGGACGCGGAACCCGTGGATGAACGTCTTTAGAGTACAGTGCGATGCTCCCGCGGATATGTCCCCCGCAGAGATGGACGATTGGGGTGAGTTGTAAATCGTGGACCGGGGTGTTCGGGAACGTCGTGCGTAAAATCCGGTGCCAATCGGGTGCCTTTTACGCGCTGTTTTTGTCTTCATAAATAACGCGTTTGTCACCATAGAAAGAGTAAAATGTTGTAAACAATATAGACCACAAAATGCTGGTCTGCTCTAATCGAAAACATGTTATCTTTTATGTAAGAAACAGCCTGGTTCTGAGTATCTGACTATTTGTAAGAGATCTGATTGGCTGAGTGAGGGTGGTCCTCTGTTTTTCCCTTTTCTGCCTGAAGTTGTGATATAGGCAAAAATATACATGCATGTGATAGAAGCAAACTGTTTTACAGCCAGGAACTAGAGACATAATGATAATAATAATACATCAAACTTGTATAGCGCTTTTATTGACACTCAAAGACGTGGGTCTATTGGGTCTCTTGCTTATCTCTCTCTTGTCTCTGGTCTCTCTCTCTCTGGTCCCTCTCATTGGTCTTTTTCTGGTCGCTCTCAGGTCTCTCTCACTGGCCTTTCTCGGGTGGCTCTTTGGTCTCTCAGTTTTATCCCTGGTATCTATTTCTCTCTGGAGAAAGAGATCTCCATCTGATCTCTTTCTGGTCTCTCTCTGGTCTCTCAGGTCTCTTTAGTCTCTCAGGCTGAGAGACTAAAGAGTATGAGGGTGTGTATGTTTCACCAGTAAATAAGTTGATGTTCTCATCATTTATAATGGCCAAGAAGTAATGCCTGGTAGTTCTTAAGTTATGCTGTTGTATTTCACTGCTGGTGTAATTGGTCAGGCTCATTATAATGCAAATATTTTATTGACACAACCTGTACGTTTTTGTGCTGACATCTAAAGATATAAATTTGGGGTAAACACAATGACCCCTAAAGTGTAAGAAACATATGGACATAACCATCTAATCCTCTCTGATTGTGTCTCGGATCTAACCGAGAACACAGTCTGACCTTGAATCCAATCTGAGTCACTGCTATTTATACACCTCTGTCCCAAATACTCCTGCAGTTCGACCAAGCCCGGAGAAAGCCCACTCCCCTTGGGTCTGTGTGTGTCCAGGAGAAATGAATATCCCTATTGATCGGCCACATACAGATATTAAAGCTGGCTACGTAACCACAAAAAACAATTTCTCAGACACCATGTCACTAGTTCATGGCTCTAACACAGTTTGGTTCTATCACCAGTTCTGAATAGAGAGCACCGTCTGCAATCAGTTCTACGTTTCCACCCTCGCCTCTGGCCATGAGCTTTGGGTAATGACTGAAAGGATGAGATTGGGGATGGATACTAGTGGTCCACATGAGATAAAGGATGAAGGGATGAATTTTCACATGCATGTATTTTCGGCCTCTGTCACTGATGTGACAAAGAGAGGACAATTCAATCTCTCTAGCCTGTGTTGATAGCCTGTGTGTAAGATATGTTCTGCCTTTTTAAACAGTTGTGTTGAAAGTTTTTCATGAGAGTTTACTGCAGCCAAAATTCATTTATAACAGCTGCATGTTTTCAGAAGCATGGTTTGAATGGCTTACATTTGTTTTTTTTGCCCCCTGGCACGATTAAATGCCAGTGGGATATGTGTAGCTCTCTTTGGACCATAGAGCGTTGGTATTTGTTCCAACTGCGGTAGCTTCGCACCGTAAAAGGGGCAGACGTTTTGTTAAGGCAAGCTGGAGTTTCCCAGAGAATGACGGCCTCTGATTGGTCAATCCTTATATGGCTCATATCAGGATTTACTAAGAATATATCCCAGTATAAACGGCAGCATCACAGAAAGTGGTAAACCACAGATTTTTAAACCCAAAATGGTGAGTGTGACACATACAAGTTTACTTTACATTTATGTCCAGGGCGCCCTATGAGCCAGGGCGAGTGGGAGCCAAAACCTTTTCCGTGAGCACATATTGGGCTTCAGTTAGCCATCAGGTTAGCATTCTCCATCTGTATACAGTCTATAATTTACAGTTTTTTTGTGAACATCTTTCAATATTTCAATCTAAAACACAATAATCCACATAATTAATAAGACACATTTGAAAATATCGTCTATATTATTTTCTATCTTATTAGTTCTAGTGAGTGTCATCAAAGATAGATGTACTGTATGTTGCGTTATGCTCCACAGGACATGTGCAGACGTGTTGCTGTGTCTATGTTTTGTTTATGGTCTGGTTTGTATCTGTAGAATGGAAAAGAGGAACTTGAATTTCTGGTCATCTCTTGTTTTTTTGTTTTTCAACTTGTGACTTCTGAAACTCTACGTCCGGAGAGAGACAGTCCAGAGAGACAGTCTCCAGAGAGAGAGAAAGAAATACTTGGTCAATTGACAAATCCTCAAAATAACACTTTTACAATTTTTAAAGTGATGTTTTGCTTTTCTTTATTCCCTATATTGTTTGCAAAGCACTTTTCATTTTGTGATTGGCTCATTGCGACAGCCCTAGTTAAATGTCATTCTAAAGTGACATTTATCCCAGTTTCCCTCGGAGCCTTTAGTGTGGACACAGGGAGGGGAGGGGTGATGCTGAGGAGAGCACAAGAGGAACAGGAAGAAGAGGAGAGGAGGGGGGGAGGCTGCTGCAGACTCTCACACTGCGGACAACACCGGTGCGCTGGCGGGGGGGCATGGCGCGCTGGCGGGACACATACGCCACTGTCCAGCGCGCAACAGCACACAGGCGACACTGGCCCGGGACGCGCCATGGGCAACAGCTGCGATCGAGGTAAAAAGTCATGTGACTCGCTGCTATCATGGCTGCTCAAACTTTAGCCCGTCCCTTCACCAGCCCTACTTGGCAATACTCTACTCTTACCTAGTTGTGTGTCCATTACACTTTAGTTTGTGTGTCCGCGCAACCTACCCACAACAAACTAGTATCTGGGGAAATTACAAGGTCCAGAGATATTGAGAGAGAGAAAGGGAGAGCGTGAGAGAGACAAGAGAGACAGAGAGGGAGAAAGAGAGACGAGAGTGAGAGAGGCCAAAGTGAAAGAGGGATCAGAGAGCAACCAAAGAGCTCGTAAATGGGACGGCGGGCTCGTGTGGCGCCATGAAAACCGATGTCCGATGGGGCCCAAGACTGGACGATGTTATGCATTTTAGCCTTGTGTAAACTGCAAAATGGACTGGACAGAACTGTAAACCATATCATAATAATGGTCCCTCGTCCAAAAAAAGTCTTTGAGTTGTTTCCACTACAGCTGTTCTAAAAATCAAAAAATTTAGATCTAAATGGGAAAGACTTTTTGGTGAAAATGACATCCCTCTCCTCACTCGTATACTTTCGCTTTTCACTCATTGACTGAAAATGTAAGGTGTCATTGACACCTTACATTGTGTGCACCATGTGCACTTGTATATTGTAAATAGTAACTGTAACTCTATCCATCCATCCATTTTCTTCCCCTTAATCCATTTCTGGGTCGGGGGGGTGGCCAGAGATGCCACCCAGTACACAGAGCACCAGCCCCTCACTGATCCTCCTGCAGGTGGTGAGTCCACAGAAGCTGAGATCTTTCAGTGGGAGCTTCAGGCAAAGTGGGGTTAAGTGTCTTGCCCAAGGACACAACGACAGCAGTCATCAGTGGGACTCGTGAAGTAGGTCTTACGGTGAGCTCGAACCCACGACCTTCAGGCTCAAAGGCTAATGCTCTACCAACTGAGCTACTGTCGGCTGTAACTCTATTTTAAATTTAAATTTATTCCTTAGAAGTGTTTTTTATTCTTTATTTTTATTATCTCTTTCTGACTGTTTCACTGAGCCAAAGCAATTTCCAAGTCTGTGACTTCCTGTTACTTACGTGGCAATAAAAATGATTCTGATTCTGATCTGATTCTGATTGATTGTATACAGATGGACAATGCTCAATGAAAAACCAATAGGGAAATGCTCATGAAGTTCGGCTCCAACTTGATCTGGCTAGTACTTTTACATGCAAGTCATTGAGACAAACGGCAACTGAGCTACTCAGAATGTTGGGCTTAAATCTGTGGGTTACCACTCTCTGTGATCCTGGTGTTTATATTGGGATATTGTCTAAATTAAATTATGAGCCATATCAAGATTGATCTGATAAATGTATTTGCTGGGTAAACACCAGTTTTCCTTAGCAACCATCTTAGTAACACGCCCGCCCCAAGCCCTGGCGATCCAAGATGGCGTCCTACTCAAATCAATGACTTTTGCTCAGTGGCCCATGTGCCACCATGGGGACCGAAAGATGAGCCGGAACTTGCCGATATTTGGGCATCGTCTGGTCCTCCCGGTTCTGCACAGTAGACAAGCTCCCGTGATTCGTTTTGCCAAATAGCGGAGTTAGAGCGGGGGAAAATTGAGCAGAGTTTATGGCACTAAAGTGGGGGATTAAAGAAATAAACTTCAGGATTACAAGGGACACTAAAATCCCCACAAAGTTAAGTCTGCAGCTCCGCGAGAACCCCTCGAGCACATGAGTCCTTCAGCTCCAAGTTACTAATACCCTATCCACCATAGCCCCTGCTATGGTGCAAAGCTAACGCCACAGAACAAATGCACATATAAACAAGTTGGCTTCTTCTGCATTAAGGCTAACACTGTGGTGATGTTACACTTGGTCTGATGGATACTACACAAGTTTGGACTGCTGCCTTGTCTCGCTCAGTGGTCACATGATGTTCTCATGTTTTTTAAACAGCACCATCCCAGGTGTGTAAGAGTAAAACAGCCCCCTCGTCCCGGTTTACAGTCCTGCGGTCACATTGTCTCTCTCTGGTCTCTTCCTGGTCTGCCTCATCTTCCTCAGAGTGGTCACTGGAGGTTTTTCTGTCCTGTCAGCTACAACAGCGCCACCTGCAGTCACACTTCTTCAAAAAGCCTGTGTGCCTGGTTCATATTCTGGTCTGATTTGTCCACAACATGTTACTTTTCCAAGAATCTTGGGTAGCCCAGTTTAAGGTATTGTTTATAACTGTATTTACCTCTCATGCGACTCTCCTGTTTTGTGCTTGCAGATGTTTGTGCGGACCACTCTCCAAGGAGGAGGAGCATCTCTGGGCTCAGCTCAGACCGAAGCCCTAGTCCAGTGGAACCTCCCAGCTCCTCCCCGTTCAAAGTCCCGGTCAGTGTCAGGGCCAAGACCAAAACACATACTGCTCAATATTGTACATGTCTTTAAAAAAAAAAAAAAAAATCTTATTTAGTGAGTCCTTGGATCATATTATTGAGCCTACTTTATGTTTTTGAGTGGGAGAGGCCCTTGTGTGTCATCCTCTCACTTTCTCTCTCTCTCTCCAGGGCTTTTTCAGCAGACGACTCAAAGGCTCCATTAAGAGGACCAAGAGCCAGACAAAACTCGACCGCAACCCCAGCTTCAGACTTCCTGCAGTGCCACCCTCCGATTTAGACAAGTAAGAAATCAGAGAGAGACTAAAGACTGAAGAGGGAGAGACCGCAGAGGGAGAGAGAGAGACCAGAGGGACAAAATAGAGCAGAAAGGGAGAGCGAGACCGGAGAGGGAGAACGAAGCCGGAGAGGGAGAACGAAGCCGGTGAGGGAGACCAGATGGAGAGAGAGACCAGAGAGAGACAAAAGATAAATGTTTGCAGCACATTTGCAGCAACAAGGTGTGTCTGTGTGCGCAGATGTAGTCCGGGGCGTCTGAAGGAGGACTGTGTGAGTCCGGCTGTGGCAGTGGAGACTCTAGACCTGGGACAGGACCAGGACGTGAGTGTCAAACCGCTCCACAGCAGCCTGCTAGGACAGGACTACTGCTTTGAGGTACACAAACACACGCATGTACACACTCAACAAACACACTCACACACACTTTATTTCTGTGTCCTGTAAATACTGCATTTTCAATCCAATCCACTATTTATATACCACATTTTATAAAACAAGTTTCCAAAGTGCTGCACAGAGATAAAACCAACACATTTATATATACAGGTTTTCCAGCTTTATATGTATCAACAAAAGAATAAGTCAAACAATAATGAGCAGTAAAAAAAAAATATATGTATAAAAACAATACCAGTTATCAAAACCAAAATAAGAACAATTAAACAAATAAAACAGAGGACCACACAACTCGTGCAATGTTAAAAGCCAAAGAGTAAAAATGCGTCTTAAAACGAGAATTAAAACATTTCGAGAATGTCCATTGATTGACTATATACAGTGCCTTGCGAAAGTATTCGGCCCCCTTGAACCTTTCAACATTTCGCCACATTTCAGGCTTCAAATATAAAGATATAAAAATTAAATTTTGTGTCAAGAATCAACAACAAGTGGGACACAATCGTGAAGTGGAACGAAATTTATTGGATAATTTTAACTTTTTTAACAAATAAAAACTGAAAAGTGGGGCGTGCAATATTATTCGGCCCCCTTGCGCTAATACTTTGTAGCGCCACCTTTTGCTGCAATTACAGCTACAAGTCGCTTGGGGTATGTCTCTATCAGTTTTGCACATCGAGAGACTGGAATTCTTGCCCATTCTTCCTTGCAAAACAGCTCAAGCTCAGTGAGGTTGGATGGAGAGCGTTTGTGAACAGCAGTCTTCAGCTCTTTCCACAGATTCTTGATTGGATTCAGGTCTGGACTTTGACTTGGCCATTCTAACACCTGGATACGTCTATTTGTGAATCATTGAATTGTAGATTTGGCTTTATGTTTTGGATCATTGTCCTGTTGGAAGATAAATCTCCGTCCCAGTCTCAGGTCTTTTGCAGACTCCAACAGGTTTTCTTCAAGAATGGTCCTGTATTTGGCTCCATCCATCTTCCCATCCACTTTAGCCATCTTCCCTGTCCCTGCTGAAGAAAAGCAGGCCCAAACCATGATGCTGCCACCACCATGTTTGACAGTGAGGATGGTGTGTTCAGGGTGACGAGCTGTGTTGCTTTTACGCCAAACATATCGTTTTGCATTGTGGCCAAAAAGTTCGATTTTGGTTTCATCTGACCAGAGCACCTTCTTCCACATGTTTGGTGTGTCTCCCAGGTGGCTTGTGGCAAACTTTAAACGAGACTTTTTATGGATATCTTTGAGAAATGGCTTTCTTCTTGCCACTCTTCCATAAAGGCCAGATTTGTGCAGTGCACGACTGATTGTTGTCCTATGGACAGACTCTCCCACCTCAGCTGTAGTTATCTGCAGTTCATCCAGAGTGATCATGGGCCTCTTGGCTGCATCTCTGATCAGTCTTCTCCTTGTTTGAGATGAAAGTTTGGAGGGACGGCCGGGTCTTGGTAGATTTGCAGTGGTCTGATACTCCTTCCATTTCAATATAATTGCTTGCACAGTGCTCCTTGAGATGTTTAAAGCTTGGGAAATCTTTTTGTATCCAAATCCGGCTTTAAACTTCTCCACAAAAGTATCTCGGACCTGCCTAGTGTGTTCCTTTTGTCTTCATGGTTCTCTCTGCGCAGGTGCATTTATACGGAGACTTGATTACACACAGGTGCATTCTATTTATCATCATCAGTCATTTAGGACAACATTGGATCATTCAAAGATCCTCACTGAACTTCTGGAGTGAGTTTGCTGCACTGAAAGTAAAGTTTAAATTATCCAATACATTTCGTTCCACTTCACGATTGTGTCCCACTTGTTGATTCATGACAAAACATGTATATGTTATATCTTTATGTTTGAAGCCTGAAATGTGGCGAAATGTATACTTTCGCAAGGCACTGTACTACTTCTTCCCATAATCCACAAATATTAAATAGCATTTTCAGCTACCTATCTATGTTTTGTGTGTTCTTCTTGCTATTGTCCTGTATGTGCGCTCAAACAATGAAACTTCCCCACTGTTGGACGAATAAAGACTCTCTTTTCTTATTACTGTGTGTGTGGTCGCTGACATCAGGTCTCGTTTCCTGGAGGCAGCAAGTGCTTCAGCTGCAGCTCTGCGTCAGAGAGAGACAAGTGGATGGAGAACCTGCGGCGCACCATACAACCTAACAAGGTCTGGGCCTTACTTTAGTCTAGTCCTATCAGTATTTAATCAATAATATATACTGTACATAAGTCAGGACTATGAGCTGAAACCTTGTGTGGTGATAGATTTACTACTTAGAGATCAGAGAGGGGGAGATCAGAGAGTGGGGGAGAGAGACCAGAGAGTGGGAGAGAGACCAGAGAGAGGGTACAGGATTGCTCCTGTAGCCGCGCTCCTGTCATGTTTGTCTTGATAACTGTTGTCGATCTGTGTCTCAGGACAACTGCCGTCGCGAGGACACGACTCTGCGTCTGTGGATCATTGAAGCCAAAGACTTGGCTCCAAAGAAGCGATACTTCTGTGAGCTGTGTCTGGACGATGTGCTGTACGCACGCACCACCACCAAGCCCCGCACTGACAGCCTCTTCTGGGGAGAGTACTTTGAGTTCAGCGGCCTGCCCCTGGTGCAGAGCATCACCGTGCACGTGTACCGCGATGTGTGCGAAAACCAGAAAAAGAAGAAAAAGGACAAAAACAACTACGTGGGCCTGGTGAACATCACCGTAGGCGGCAGTGGGGGACGGCAGTTCACTGAGCGGTGGTACTCTCTGAGCACGCCCAGTCTGGTCAAAGGCAAAGGCCCCGCCCCCTCTGTGCGCATCAAGTGGCGCCTGCAGACCATCTCTATCCTGCCCATGGAGCAGTACAAAGAGTTTGCAGAGTTTGTCACCAACAATTACTCGTCTTTGTGCTCCGTGCTGGAGCCCGTCATCAGCGTGCGCAATAAGGAGGAGATGGCCTGTGCGCTGGTGCACATCCTGCAGAGCACAGCCCGAGCTAAGGTAACTCCTGCCTCCAGATCCAGAATATTACCCCCCCCCCCCCCCCCCCCCCCCGCATCTCCAGCCTCAGACTAACTTCTCCCCCAGCTCCACCCTCACCCTCCCCCTGCGCAATTTAGAAAATAATTATACAGTACAGACCAAACGTTTGGACACACTTTCTCAATTAATGAGCTTCCTTTCTTTTCATGACTATTGACTGTAGATTCAGACCCAGGCTGTATAAGGGCTATTTGACCAATGAGGAGAGTGGTGGTGCTGGGCCAGATGACCTGGCCTCCACAGTCACCGGACCTGAACCCAATCCAGATGGTTTTGGGGTGAGCTGGACCACAGTGAAGGAAAAAGGGCCCACTAGTGCTAAGAATCTCTGGGATCTCCTTCAAAACTGTTGGAAAACCATTTCAGGTCACTACCTCTTGAAGCTCATCCAGAGAATGGCAAGAGTGTGTGAAGCAGTAATCAGAGCAAAAGGAGCTACTTTGAAGAACCCAGAATATAAGACATATTTTCAGTTTTTTCATACTTTTTTTTAGTACGTACATAATTCCACATGAGTTAATTCATAGTTTTGATGCCTTCAGTGTAAATATACAATTTTCATAATCATGAAAATAAAAACTCAAATGAGAAGGTGTGTCCAAACTTTTGGTCTATACCGTGTATATATATATATATATATATATATATATATTTTTTTTTTTTTATACAGCCCTTAATCACAACAGTTGTTATCTCAGAGGACTTTACAAAGCTGTCAATTTGCAAACACAGATCAGAGAATCTTTTTACAAACTCATGCACACATGTGCGTCTTACAGGACTTCCTCACGGACCTGGTCATGTCTGAGGTGGACCGCTGTGCTGACCATGATGTGCTGATCTTCAGAGAAAACACTCTGGCGACCAAAGCCATCGAAGAGTACCTCAAACTGGTGGGACAGAAGTACCTCCATGATGCGTTAGGTGAGCTCCACACAACAGCCCTCAGGATGACTACGACCATGAATACCATTCACAATATTGTGAATGTAGTGTAGAGAACTCGGGTGGGCCGTAAGGACTGTATGAAGGTGCTGGTTTTAGGGGTGGGTGTTTAGGTCACTACCTCAGACTGCATCTGACCCCTATATTTCACAGGAAGAAAAAAGTTTTCACTTACTTCGGTTTTCTTCCAGGTAAAAGCGAGTGGCACCCTCTTATGGATTTTCCCGGAAAAAAACATGTGAACAAACAGTAATAATCTATAGTGTAGTTTGATCCTCAAGATCCTCATGATGTTGACTGAACATGTGTTAGACATGTCTGAGAGTGCTTTGATCCTGTAGGTCCTGATGTTTTCTGAACATGTGTTCACCAGGAGAGTTCATCAAAGCTCTGTACGAGTCGGATGAGAACTGTGAGGTGGACCCCAGTCGATGTCCGAGCAACCAGCTGTCCGAGCACCGCAGCAATCTGAAAATGTGCTGTGAGCTGGCCTTCTGCAAGATCATCAACTCATACTGGTACTGCTGACACTACCTCCCCTCATCTGTTTCTCTCTCTAGTCTCTCTCTGGTCCCTGTGGTCTCTCTCTGATCTCTGGTGTCTCTCTCTGGTATCTTCTCGACTGGTGAAGCTGCCCATTCTTCATGGTAAACTCCAGTTCCAGTGAATTTCTGGGCCTTGCATGAACTGCAAACACGTTTATTTGACGACAAATTTCTTCACATAAAGCTCTAACAACAATGAAAGAAGGAAAAACATCTACCCAAAACAATAATTGCGAGTGTTTAAACGTGCCTTCCTTCTTCACAGCGTGTTCCCGAGGGAGCTGAAGGAGGTGTTTGCGTCCTGGAGACAGCAGTGTCTTGCTCGAGGGCACTCAGCCGACATCAGCAAACGTCTGGTCAGCGCCTCACTGTTCCTGCGCTTCCTCTGCCCCGCCATCATGTCCCCCTCACTCTTCAACCTGACGCAGGAGTACCCCGACGACCGCACCGCACGCACACTCACCCTCATCGCCAAAGTCATCCAGAACCTGGCCAACTTCTCAAAGTACACACACAGACACACGCACGCACTCACGCAGACAAAGAGACAAGACACAAACGCAGAGATAGACATACACACACAGATACAGACATACATACAGACACATGCACACAGAGATTGACATACACACACACACACAGAAATACAGAGACACATATGGACACACACATGTAATATGAAGCCTGATCATGGCAGTTGTGGTTCTAGGTTTGGGAATAAGGAGGAGTACATGGCCTTCATGAATGACTTCCTGGAGCATGAGTGGTCTGGGATGATGCGTTTCCTGTCGGAGATCTCAAACCCTGAGAGTCTGTCGTCCACTCCGGGCTTTGAGGGCTACATGGACCTGGGCCGTGAGCTGTCTGTGCTGCACGCGCTGCTGTGGGAGGTGGTCTCTCAGCTGGACAAGGTGAGACTCTAACTGCAGGATGTCATTCCCTCATGTATTTCTGTGACACACCTTTGATATAATATGATGAAAAGTGTTTGCCAATTCCCATGAGAAAGGTTCTGCGTTCAAATTAATAAAACTAACACATTATTATTATTTTTTTGTAGCTCATTAATTTTATTTACCTCATTAAAGTCCCGGCCCTAGTTTTGAATGTAAAGAATAGTTAATTTTTTCCTGCAGTTCCTTTTCTGTCAAGCATGAATCTCAATTTGTGCTTTCTTTTCTGTTTTGTCCTTTTCGGCTGCATCCTTACGTTCTATTGTGCGTGAAACCAAAATTGGCGGCTTCAGGGTGAGAACTCCTTCCTGCAGGACACAGTGGCAAAGCTGGGGCCCCTCCCCAGGATCTTGGGGGACATTAGCAGGTGCCTCTCTGCTCCCACACCGGCCCCTCAGCCACTGCAGCGCTTCCACGCTCTGAGCTCCACCAACATCAGCGGCAGTCAGTCCTCCGGCCTCCACAGCATCATGGAGAACAACAGGTGACTGCCACCCTGAGCCCGACTGGAAGAGGCACATTACAAACACAATCAATTCGATGTATTTTGTATCGCAGTCGTCTCAGAGGAGCTACAAAGTTGTGGATACACCAATAACAGATCTGACAATCAGTTTGAACAATAATAACAAAGACATAGAAGCTATTAGTCCATAGGGAGCTGGATGACCACTGTCCAGAAATGTTATGTATGTCCTGGATCAACACTGCCTTAAACCTCCTGCATGGACAAGGAACCACTCAAAAACCCAGTGGGAAAACAACTGTGAGCGGGCAAGCTGTAGAACTTAGACCGTAGATCCGGGACTGAGGCTGTAGATCCAGGACTGTGTGCTATATTAAAAAAATATTCTCCTCTCCTTCTCCCAGTGACGTGCACAGTGTCCTGTCCGGTGCAGAGCTGGAGCTGATGCCAAACGGCCGCAGCATCTCCCTGGTGGATCTACAGGAAGCACAGCAGGTCCACAGAGTCCCCTCCCAGACCTCAGTCGGAGCCACTGTGAGCTACTCCACCCCCCTGGCCCCGCAGCCGACCAGAGCTGTGGCCCCCAGAGACGCACAGCCCCAGAGTGCGCCACAGGTGAGCCGCACGTACAGAAGTCTCTCTGGTGTCTCTCTCTGGTGTCTCTCTCTGGTCTCTCTCTCTCTGGTCTCTCTCTCTCTGGTCTCTCTCTCTCTGGTCTCTCTCTCTGGTCTCTCTCTCTCTGGTCTCTCTCTCTCTGGTCTCTCTCTCTCTGGTCTCTCTCTCTCTCTGGTCTCTCTCTCTGGTCTCTCTCTCTCTTGTGACTCTGTCTCTTAGTAACAGAGAGACAGTATCCACTAGGGATACTATCTCTCTGTTACTATTGATATATATTTCTATTGTCTAACGTTCTGTCAGTGAAAGTTATACTGTACTTTGACATGGACGTAGATACATCTAAACTAATGCTGCCCCTGATTGACCAAATTATTGTGTAACTTTACCGACACTAATACAGTACTGTCCTTTGTTGAAGTGATGGTGTTCCTCTACATAAAATACACGCAGAGCACTAGTATACTAAATGGTAGTATACAAGTGCTTTTTGGAGAAAGGTCTCAATTGTTACTTTACCACATGTTCAAAAGACCAACTCCTCAAACGAATATAGTATGAGCTTGTTATTCTGCATGGATACATTACGATCAATTCATTAGATATTAGATCCATGTGATCAACCCCATGGACCAGCTGTATGCTAGCGGCTGTCAGGTTAGCCACAGGCCATCGGCCTTACGTCAGAAAAATGGTGTCATGGTGTCATGAACACGAGTAGTACCACCAAACCCAGCGTGGCAACATGATATTACATGGCCATTATTCTAATCATATTGTTTCTGATCCTAACGTTTGTGTATGATGTCCAGGTGCGGCGCCCCCTGCAGGCCTCCCTCAGTCAGCAGCGCAGCCTCCAGGCCCTGTCCTTTCAGAACCCTGTGTACCACCTTTCCCCCCACAACTCCAGCCCCCCACACTCCAGCCCCGACCTGAGCATGGCCAGCTCCCAGCACAGCCCCTCTACGCCCCGAAGGACCCCAGAGACCCCCACGCCCAGAGCCCCAGTGGCCCTCAGCACAGCAGTGGCTGTCCCCCGACAGAGCAGCACGGCCGGCACCGCGCACATTGTCAAGGTCAGAGCGCTGCACACAATCACACATGTACCACAAGCCACGAGGAGACATGAGAGAGAGACCAGCGAGGGGGAGAGACCAGCGAGGGGGAGAGACCAGAGACAAGAGATAGATGTACAATTATCTGGTCTCTCTCCATCTGTCTTCATCTCCTCTGTCAGTCCGGTTGCAGTGTTACATCACTTTGACATCACACTCAGAGCAGATTTCTGCCTTTAAAACAAATGTATTGCCAATAAGTAATATGACAATTTTTAATTGTCATTTCTCAGGTGAAATGTTATTATGTCATTTTTACAATCACATCTGTCTGTGCTTGCAGCTCCCTCTGGTGGCAGCATAGGGAGTTAATGTGAGCTCAGACTGCTGACTCTGCTCCATCTGGTTGCACCATAGGGAGTTACAGAGAGCTTTGACTGCAGACGCTGCTCCCTCTAGTGGAAGATGGGGAGTAACAGTGTGTTTTGTGTCCAGGTGGAGCAGCAGAGCCGGGGGTCACGCACACCCAAGTCCCCTTCACACAGCGCCTCTTTGAGGAGCAGCAGCAGCACGAACACTGAGCCCACTGCCCCAGGAGTCCCTCCAGGTGCTCCAGGACCCGCTCAACCACAGCCTGCCTGCCCAAGTGACAGCCAAAACCCTGCGGCATCCCGCGGAAAAGCAACGCAGCAGGTGAAATTGCAGTTTTTTGTGGTAGTTGTATGTGAGGTTCTTCATCTTCTCTGGTCTCTCACCTAGTCCCTCTTGTCTTTCTCTAGTCTCTCCCTCTGGTCTCTCCCTCTGGTCTCTCACAAATCTCTCTCTCTCTGGTCTCTCTCTCTGGTCTCTCTCTCTGGTCTCTCTCTGATCTTCCTCTCTGGTCTCTCTCTGGTCTCTCTCTCTCTCTGATCTCCCTCTCTGGTCTCTGGTCCCTCTCTGGTCCCTCTCTGGTCCCTCTCTGGTCCCTCTCTGGTCCCTCTCTGGTCTCTCTCTGGTCCCTCTCTGGTCCCTCTCTGGTCCCTCTCTGGTCCCTCTCTGGTCCCTCTCTGGTCTCTCTCTGGTCTCTCTCTGGTCCCTCTCTGGTCCCTCTCTGGTCCCTCTCTGGTCCCTCTCTGGTCCCTCTCTGGTCCCTCTCTGGTCTCTCTCTCTGGTCTCTCTCTGGTCCCTCTCTGGTCCCTCTCTGGTCCCTTTCTGGTGGTAAAGCTGCCCGTTCTTCTTGGCAAAAAGGAGCCTCCGGTTTCTGTACATTCCTGGGCTGCCTTGCACAAACTGCAGTTTTGTTATGTAATAATTGAATCCAGATCATGAAAACAGAAAAAATGTGGCTTCCCACAAACACCAAAAAGAAAAGTTTAGTTGATCGATTTCACATTTCATATTGTACAGTATCTTGAACTTTTGTTGTTTAATTCTTGTTTTTGTCTGGGAACTTTTGCACTTGTATTCAAATGTGTCTTCTTACTGGCAAATAAACTGAATCTGATCTGTTGTGTTGTGCAGGCGTCTCCCATGGAGCCCGTTGCTGTGGCCATGTCCCCAGTGGACCGCACTGCTGCCTGGGTCCTGAACAATGGGCAGTACGAGGAGGCGCAGGAGGAGGAGGCGCAGGGGGGGGAGGAGGAGGAGGTGGGGAAGAGCCCTGAGCACAGCGGCTCTGAGAAGGTCTGTTTGCAGATACAGAGTTTGTGAAGCCGCACAAAGTATTTACCTTTCATTCTGCCAAAGAGAGACCAGACCAGAGAGAGACCAGACCAGAGAGAGACCAGACCAGAGAGAGACCAGACCAGAGAGAGACCAGACCAGAGAGAGACCAGAGAGAGGCAGACTAGAGAGACTAGAGAGGCAGACCAGAGAGACTAGAGAGGCAGACACGAGAGACTAGAGAGGCAGACCAGAGAGACTAGAGAGGCAGACCAGAGAGAGAGAGAGACCAGAGAGACGCAGACCAGAGAGGGAGAGAGAGAGAGACCAGAGAGAGGGAGAGGGTGTTGTGGATTGCTCCAGGAATTACAGGAAGTAGCAAAAACAAAGGCTTGAATCTGACTTACCATCGTTCCCAGTGAAACTATCGCTCTTCGTGTCGTGCTGATCTCAGTGTTTGCCTGTGCTCCTCCTCAGTACGAGCTGCAGATCTCCTCTCTGAAGGAGCGCCTGCGTCTGTCGGGCCGGCGCCTGGAGGAGTACGAGCGGCGTCTGGTGGCGCAGGAGCGGCAGATGCACACGGTCCTGAGCGAGTACCAGACCCGGCTGGAGGAGAGCCAGGAGCAGCTCCAGAGGCAGAGCCAGGAGAAGGATGGCCAGATGAAGAGCGTCATGTGCAGGTCTCTACGCAGTCCCACCAGCACGGCATCCAACCCGCCTTGCGACTGTTAGGACATGTTTAAAAAATAAAAATAGTAATGATGATAACAATAATACATCAATTTATAAAGCGCTTTTCTTAACGAAGACACTTCACATGTCTTTATTCATTCACTCCATCCATAGCCACAGCTGCCCTGAGGCACACTGACAGAAGCAAGGCAACCAGTCTGTGCCATCGGCCCCTCCCACCACCACCACACCTTTCATTCGTGCACACACCAGACTCATCTTAATATAGATGAAGTGTCTTGCCTAAGGACACAACCACAGCTTTGCACTTTACTGCCGCCCCACTGTGGCCCCTGGTGTCTCCCATCACAGTACTAACCAGGCCCTGCTCTGCTTAGCTTCATAGTTCTGAATGGATTTTGCTGTGTGTGTTATGTGTGATATAATTAAAAAAGTACAGGGAAAAGAACAACAAACACAATATGAGCACGAAGCTGAAGTGAGTACTGGGAAAGGGCTTATTATTCCAATTTGGTTTTACTGCAAATGGCAAAAAAAAACTGAATCTTGCTCAGTTCTTCTGGCTCGAACAAAGGCACGTCACAGTTTTGTTAATGAGATGCGTAGAGATCGTGGATAAAATCTAAAACCTCCAAATGCAGACGGCCTGAGTGTTGATATGCTTGACTTAGGCCGCGGTCACATGCAGCGATTAGATCCGGGCTTTATGTGACCGCGGCAAGTGGGCTTAGGCACGATAGCCATAACCGCGCCCAGGCACGTTTGAAGACTTGGGCCAGGGCCCGCTTTGTAAAGCCCAGATGAGGGGGGTCAGTGTGGCAGGTGGTGGGGGATGAGGTGTGGTGGGGACTTTATATTGTGCGTCACATTACGTCTTCTGTTGTGACGGGCATTTTCACACACTCTCCCTGCACTTTAGTATTCTCTGCTTGTGTTAAACCTTTCATATAAGCCTGGGACCGTAGTCGAGGGGCGCTGGGGGGTGTGTTGCTGCAGGGCCAAAGGGAAGCGTTTCCTACGGGAATAACTCCCTCTGTTCTGACCCTCGCTCTCACAGTGATTGCAATAATACTTCAGACATTCAAGAATCAGTCTTTATTTAATCGCCAGAACACACACACACACTTGTATCCTGCTTGTCTCCGGTTGCTCTGCTCGTACTCCACACTTTTCATTCTTTCATTCTCATTAATTCATTTCTCAGCGCTCTTACGCTCGTGTGTGTGTGCTCTCGTGTCCGCTGCGCGCACACACACACACACACACACACACGTGTGCGCACACACATGTTACTCACTGAACTGCTGCACTTTGCATCAGAGCAATTTGGACAAGTGTGAGATGTGTCTTTCCCTGAACATCGAGATCCGTACTGAGCAGTTAGCTACAGTAGCGGAGCGTAAACGGGAAGAGAAACGGAAACTCAACCGGGACAATGAGGTCATCGCTGGAGTTAGTATTAGCGCCACCAGCTGGACCGAGCATTGTACTACAGCTTAGTTACTCTGGCACGTCTGCGAATACACATTCATGTGACCATGGGCCGTTTTCACACCCCTGTGGCGACGATCCGGGCCACTTGGCCTAGTTCGCTTGTAAAAACCTATGTGACCGTGGCCTTAGAGTTGAAAATTAATTGTGCAATATGAATAAACTGTGTGTAATGTGTGCGTGTAGGTTGATGGCGGTGGAGGAGGAGCTGCGCAGGGACCACGCAGAGATGCAGGCCGTCATCGAAGCCAAGCAGAAGATTATTGACGCACAGGTAAAGGCCCAGATCCACAGGCATTAATGTGAATATGAATACAGACACTCACACTCTCTGTGGTCTCTCTCTGGTCTATCTCTATGACCTCTCTCTCTCTCTTGCCTCTCCCTGTGGCTTTTCTCTGGTCTCTCTCCGTCCTCTCTTTACGACCTCTCTCTTTCTGGTCTCTCTCTCAATTGCCTCTCTCTGACCTCTCTCTATGGCCTCTCACTCTCCGGTCTCTCTCTCTGTTCTCTTTCTGGTCCTCAGGAGAAGCGGATCCTCTCTCTGGATGCGGCGAACACTCGTCTGATCTCGGCGCTGACTCAGGTGAAGGAGCGCTACAGTGGGGTGAGCCTGCGTAACGGCCTGTGCCCCTCCAGCCCGAGCAAACTGTCCATCACGGAGAGCGGGGAGTTCAAGAGCAGCAGCTGAGCGCCACACACGCCGCTTTTATAAACACATTATGTTAATTTATTGTTTTATTTGCTGTTGCAGAACTACTGACCTTTGTGCTGTTGTGTTGACAATAAAGCTGCTTGAACTTCACTGGTCACTTTTAATCAGTCATCTGTACCACCACCAACTACACTGGGAAATGTATCTTAGTAAAATAAGAAAAAATAGAAATATCAAGAAAATATGACTTGATTTCTGAAATAGGAAACTAAAACTAGCCCCAAAATGACTTGATTCTAGTATTTACAAAAAGTATTATTTCAAATATTTACTTATTTCTTAAATATTTTTGAGAAATGTTTTCTTGAAATATAGCATAACATACATATTTTATCTAAACAAAAGTCTGGAAAAAATACTTTAAAAAATCATTAAAAACTTACTGCTCAGACTTGTTCTCTAATAAGATTATGAAGTATTATAATCTTAACTAGTAGAATAATTGTACATAAACTACATTCAAGCTAAAAAAAAAAAACTTGCCATTAAAATGTTTTGCATAATTTGTTGTTCGTAAATCTTAGCAAGATTTTACTTTTTTCAGTGCCTTCCCTCAGTATTCTGGCAACCAACCCACAACGAACCAGTATCTGGAAGTTCCTTGGTAACCATGGCTTCCAGCAGCACTCAGGCCAATCACTGTCAGAACACCTTAGAAGCAGCTCAGCCTGGATAGAACCAAGACCAAGAAAGACTAAAGGGCCTGGTACTGGTTAAACAGGGCTAATGTAACATATTGTGGAGGGCTGGAACTGTTTTCATGTGGTTTAGAAATTAATGTTTTTAGCCCAAACAGTTACACTACACAAAGATACTGAGTTAACAGAAACGTCCTTTTCTTTATTTGAGACATCCTGTTTAATACATCATTTATATACATTTATTGGCCAAGCCTAGTCGCCACTGAACCTGATTCTGGAGGTATTTTCCTCGTGCCTCTTTCCTCGCTGTTTGACGGTGGGATTCTGAGATACTTGTCACCGTCCTCATCGTCAGCTCTTTTTCTGTCTGGGAGTGAGACCCCTTCAGAGTTCTTTGCCTCACCGTCTGACCACAGTCCTCCAGCTCCAACAACATTCTGCAGTTGGACCTGTGGATCCTGGTGGTTTTGGATCAAGAGTCTATCCATTTGCTCTTGGTGTTCAGCTGATGTCATCCGTAACAACAATGCATCAGTTTTGACAGAAGTGAGGCGACCCGAAGGTACCATCAGCCCCTCCGACCACCCCCGCGAACCATTCATATAAGGTGGGTGAAGTGTCTTGCCTAAGGACACCACCACAGTTTGTCACTTTACAGCCACCTGACTGTGGCACCTGTTGTTCACAGAAGTCTCCCATCGTTGTACTAACCAGGCCCTGCCCTGATTAGCTTTGGAAGTTTGATAGAATTTGGCTTTCACCTGCAGGTATGGTCACATTTGATGGTCCCTTGAGCAATGCCTTATTGGTTAAGAGTGGTTATAAACATTTAGTTCATTGAAGTGAGTTTAGTTTTACTTGGATTGAACCTAAAAGACCAACGGTAGACAGCTGAGCGTTTGAGGAATTAATGAGAACTAAATAAATGTGGTTGACTGGAGAGAAATGTCTTTAAAATGAGGAGTAACATGCCATGACTCAAAGCGATTATAAAGAAAAGACACACATTGATTTTACTGTTAACTTTATTTATGCATAAAAAAAAGAAAATTGGAGACAGAGGCGGCGGCGACTGAAGAAAAAATATATTTCAGTATCTGTTTTACACTTTCTCAGGATTAAAGAGGGAGAGCAGAAAATAAGTCCCGTAGTGTTGGAGCTCCTTTAATATAGATTTTATCTGTTTACATATCTATATAGAATAAGAAAATAGGCAGTAATCAGGTCACGGCTGCCACATGTGGGCACTGCTCTCGAAACGCTTAAGACACTGGAGAGGCTGGCGAGGACATTAGCAGCGCTGCACACACACGCACACACACACACACACACACACACACAGACAACGACACATACGCACAACCAGCAGGGGGCGGGCCACAACTGCAACTGCTGCACCAGTTTCTGACAATGTAAATTGGAAAATCTCAGATCAACTTCAAAGACCCAAACTTTAATCGGGGCCAAAATGAACATGCGTTTACACTGGTCCCTGGTTTATCGCAGGGGTGATGTGTTCTAAAAAACATCCCATAAAATCCTTGCAGTAGCAGCTGTTATATAGCTGCTGCAGCTGTCAAAAGCCGTGCATACACTGTAAAATACAGCTGCAGAGGACACTGAGGGTCAGGAGCAGGACCGAGGACTACGGGAAGACCAGACAGAGACCAGACTGAGTCCTCTGAACTAATCATCACGCTGCACACAAGTCTTCCTCTATCTTTAAACAATTTCACAGAGAAATTAGCAAAAAAGCAAGGCCTCATATATCGAGGGACCAGTGTATTTTGCTTTGAAAGGACCAAAGACAGTTTTCTTTTGAATCATGACATCAACAACTTTGGATCATTATAGATTAATGGGACAAAGAAATAATCCAGTGAGAAACTTGTCCCAGGACTGAGTGAGAAGTCCACACAAAATGCAAAACTGAAATGCTTTGGGATTTAAAAACATCTGTAAAATCAGTCATTTTGAAATATTTAGAACCCACCCCCTTATACACACACAAACAGACACACACAAGTTAAAACAGTGCTATTGTTCTGCGTCAGTAAGTCGTTTTGGCAAGATTTACTTTAGAATTATTAGAAATGTACAAAAATATAAGTCAAACATTACAACCAGAAGCCAAACCATCAAGCAATGGACTCCACAAATCTTCATTTCAGTAAAAAACGTACTCTCGTATTTCGTACTCATCTCTGATATATATATTTGTCATAACAAAAACAATGCCGTTTTAACTGATGTAAATATTGGTTTTTGCCGCAGATACAAAAGTCTGACTTGCCTCAGGTTTGTGCTGAATATGTTGAAATGATTAAACATTAATAAATATGGAACAACTGTTAACGTCCTCGGCAGGAAAACCATGAGAACAAACGCCTTCAGAAAGAAACAGAACGAGGCGCAAAGACGAGCTCCTGCAGCTCCGACGTGCAAAATGCTGCTCTGTCTAATCTCACAGGCCCTGCTGCTCCGGGGTGGAGGAGGCGCGGAGGGGAGGAGGCGCGGAGGGGAGGAGGCGCGGAGGGGAGGAGGCGCGGAGGGGAGGAGGCACGGAGGGGAGGAGGCGCGGAGGGGAGGAGGGCGCGGAGGGGAGGAGGTGCGGAGGGGAGGATGGCAGTGGGGAGGAAGTGGAGTGGTGTGGAGGAGGCGGGGGGAGGAGGTGCAGCGTGTAGGAGCTGCAGGTGGATGTGTGGTGTAGAGGGTGTGGAGGAGGTGAGGGGTGGAGGTGTGGAGAAGGTTTGGGATAGAGGAGGTGCAGTGTGGAGGAAGTACGGGGTGGAGGTGTGTTGTGGATGAGACGCAGGGTGGAGGTGGTGAGGGGTGGTGGAGGTGGGGACGCGCCGTACTGAGCCTGACTACAACGCTCCTCTGACAAACCCTGTGCGTCTCGGTGCGCTCCAGATTCTGGCCATATTTCAGAAATTACACTTTTTCAATCATCGTTCATGCAAGGGAGCCCCGGAATTTACAGGAACTGAAGGCTTTTTACTGAGAAGAATGGGCAGCTTTGTAATCACAGAGACCAGAGAGAGAGACCAGAGAGGGATCAGAGAGAGAGACCAGAGAGAGATCAGAGAGAGACCAGAGAGAGAGACCAGAGAGGGATCAGAGAGAGAGACCAGAGAGAGATCAGAGAGAGACCAGAGAGAGAGACCAGAGAGAGACCAGAGAGAGAGACCAGAGAGAGAGACCGAAAGGAGAGAGAGAGACCAGAGAGAGAGACCAGAGAGAGAGACCAAGAGAGGAAGAGAGAGACCAGAGAAGAGACCAGAGAGGGATCAGAGAGAGACCAGAGAGAGAGACCAGAGAGAGAGACCAGAGAGAGAGAGAGACAGAGAGAGACCAGAGAGAGAGAGACCAGAGAGAGAGACCAGAGAGAGAGACCAGAGAGAGAGACCAAGAGAGAGAGACCAGAGAGGGATCAGAGAGAGAGACCAGAGAGAGAGACCAGAGAGAGAGACCAGAGAGGGATCAGAGAGAGAGACCAGAGAGAGAGACCAGAGAGAGAGACCAGGGAGAGAGAGACCAGAGAGAGAGACCAGAAGAGAGAGACCAAGATGGATCAGAAAGAGACCAGAGAGAGAGACCAGAGAAATAGACAAGAGAGAGACCAGAGAGGGATCAGAGAGAGAGACCAGAGAGGGAGACCAGAGAGAGAGACCAGAGAGGGATCAGGGAGAGAGACCAGAGAGAGAGACCAGAGAGAGAGATCAGAGAAATAGACAAGAGAGAGACCAGAGAGGACAAGTAAGCTCATCCACAAAAAACGACCACAAAAGACTCCGACTGTGGTTGATGGTAAAGAGAACCGGGGGATGGAGACTTCTGCTCAGTGTTATTATCATTTGAAAATAGAAAACACAAATGGTTTCTCACAAACACTAACAATGAGCGAAGGAAAAGTGTTGTTTTTCGTTCAGAATCTCTGAAATATGCCCAAAACAAGGACACATTATTCCCCCTGCACACGAGGGCCAGACCGGGACGGAACCAGGTCTCGCTGCGGACTCAAACTGGTCTAAAGCGAGTTTATGTTAAGGCCCCCCCCCCCCCCCCCCTGAGTCCACCCATGGTCCAGGTCTACAGCCGCCCGAGCAGGAGGGGGAGGGGGTAGTGTCCTCCTCAGAGCTTGTCCTTGGCCTGGACCCAGATGACGGGACCCGACTGATCCTCGATGATCTGCTTCACGCGCTCGTAAATGTCCTCCAGAGAGTCCCCCTGCACGATGGCTGCAACACACACACACACACAGTTACACACAAATACAGGCAGGCAGACACACACACACACACACACACACAGTTACACACAAATACAGGCAGGCAGACACACACAGTGATAACCATCAAATGTATGTATTTTTTTGCATAGATTTTAAGTGTGGTCCTTAATGCAACCTTTTCTCACCGTTTTGGGTCTAAAAAAAGTGAGTTTACGTTTACTTGTGAATCAATAATAGGAGCCAGAGAGAGGAGCCAAACTTCACCATGAGCACTTTCCCATTAGGCTTCATTGAGCTAGCAGGTTGTCCCTGTGTGTACAGTCTGTGGTCTGAGGGGCACGTACCGGTGAAGTGCTCGGTGAACTCCTGCTCCAGTTTCGCAGCTCGGTCAAACGTCTTCTGCCCCTGCTCCTCACTCAGCCGCTTGTTCATTTCCCTGAAGGACACGATACAGTTACTACAGAGTATTTCATGTGGACTGCAGAGTATTTCTATTTCCACAGTCTGAATGATGCACCCACTCCTTGCTTGAGAGCCTCTTCAGTCCTGGGTCTGCAGCCTCAGTCCTGGGTCTGCAGCCTCAGTCCTGGGTCTACAGCCTCAGTCCTGGGTCTGCAGCCTCAGTCCTGGGTCAGCAGCCTCAGTCCTGGGTCTACAGCCTCAGTCCTGGGTCTACAGCCTCAGTCCTGGGTCAGCAGCCTCAGTCCTGGGTCTACAGCCTCAGTCCTGGGTCTACAGCCTCAGTCCTGGTCAGCAGCCTCAGTCCTGGGTCTGCAGCCTCAGTCCTGGGTCTGCAGCCTCAGTCCTGGGTCTACAGCCTCAGTCCTGGGTCTGCAGCCTCAGTCCTGGGTCTACAGCCTCAGTCCTGGGTCTGCAGCCTCAGTCCTGGGTCAGCAGCCTCAGTCCTGGGTCTACAGGACTGAGGCTGTATTGTATTTCAAACTGTTAATTTTAAGTACAATACGATTGAAATACTCAAAAAATAGTAAAATTATGCTCTACATCAAAATTTTCGCTCCATAAACATCCATCAAATGATAAAGAATACGAGAATGTACAAATCTAAAATGGGTTCCGAAGTCTAAACTAAAACACACCAGCACCGCTTTGTGACAAATCCTGAAACTGAACTGTTGAGAGTGCCCAGGGTGTGTGGCTGTGTGTGTAGTAGCAGGGCACGGGCAGCAGGGGGCAGACTCACAGGATGTTCTCCACAGTCTTGGGTTTGATGAAGATCGCGATGGGATGAAGCTGGGCCAGCTGCAGTCTCTTTATGGCGTTTCCAGATACGTCCAGGATGCAGTGTTTCCCCTGAAACAAGAGACAGAATAATGTGTGGTCATGTCTGACCAGAGAGAGACCAGAGCGAGACCAGAGCGAGACCAGAGAGAGACCAGAGCGAGACCAGAGAGAGAAAGAGCGAGACCAAGAGAGAGAGACCAAGAGCAAGACCAGAGCGAGACCAGAGCGAGACAGACCAGAGCGAGACCAGCAGAGCGAGACCAGAGCGAGACCAGAGCGAGACCAGAGCGAGACCAGAGAGAGAGACCAGAGAGAGACCAGACCAGAGAGACCAGAGAGAGAAAAGAGCGAGACCAGAGCGAGACCAGAGCGAGACCAGAGCGAGACCAGAGAGAGAAAAGAGCGAGACCAGAGAGAGACCAGAGCGAGACCAGAGCGAGACCAGAGCGAGACCAGAGAGAGACCAGAGAGAGACCAGAGAGAGACCAGAGAGAGACCAGAGAGAGACCAGAGAGAGACCAGAGAGAGAAAAGAGCGAGACCAGAGCGAGACCAGAGCGAGACCAGAGCGAGACCAGAGCGAGACCAGAGCGAGACCAGAGCGAGACCAGAGCGAGACCAGAGAGAGAGAAAAGAGCGAGAAAAGAGCGAGAAAAGAGCGAGACCAGAGCGAGACCAGAGCGAGACCAGAGCGAGACCAGAGAGAGAAAGAGCGAGACCAGAGAGAGACCAGAGCGAGACCAGAGAGAGAAAAGAGCGAGACCAGAGAGAGACCAGAGCAAGACCAGAGCGAGACCAGAGCGAGACCAGAGCGAGACCAGAGCGAGACCAGAGAGAGACCAGAGCGAGACCAGAGCGAGACCAGAGCGAGACCAGAGAGAGACCAGAGAGAGACCAGAGAGAGACCAGAGAGACCAGAGAGAGAGAAAGACCAGCAAGAGAAAGACCTGAGGGACACCAGAACACCAGAGAGAGAGAGACTCAAGGACCAAACTTGTTACAATTTAAACAGCTCCTCATAAAGTAAGCACTGAAGAAGAATGTGGCGGTGTGAGACTTCAAAGTGAGTAGTGGGAGAGAAGTGTAGTGTGTGTGTGAGTCGAGTGTGCGTCATTGAATGAGTGAAGGGTTGGAGCCAAATGTTGTATTTCTGTTCATTGTGTGTGTGTGTGTGTGTGTGTGTGTGTGTGTGTGTGTGTGTGTGTGTGTGTGTGTGTGTGTGTGTGTGTGTGTGTGTGTGTGTGTGTGTGTGTGTGTGTGTGTGTGTGTGTGTGTGTGTGTGTGTGTGTGTGTGTGTGTGTGTGTGTGTGTGTGTGTGTGTGTGTGTGTGTGTGTGTGTGTGTGTGTGTGTGTGTGTGTGTGTGTGTGTAAACCTTCACTGGGGGTGTGTTGTGTGTATACCTTCTCTGGGTAGTTCTCCATGTGTGCGTGTGTGTATGGTGAATACACACCTTCTCCGCGACCTGCCGCACGGACTGCACACTGGTCCCGTACAGGTGTCCGTTGTACTGGCCGGCTTCGATGAAGCGGTGCTCCTGGATGTCCCGCTCCATCTGCTCACGAGAAACTACGAAGTGATAATCCCGAGCGTCTACCTCGTAGTCCCGCTTCGGCCGCGTCGTATCTATGACAAATAATACACTTCAGTTAGAGCTGGACTCAATCTCCAAGATGTCTGCCACTGGTCTCTCCAACATGTCTGCCACTGGTCTCTCCAACATGTCTGCCACTGGTCTCTCCAACATGTCTGCCACTGGTCTCTCCAACATGTCTGCCAGTGGTCTCTCCAACATGTCTGCCAGTGGTCTCTCCAACATGTCTGCCACTGGTCTCTCCAACATGTCTGCCAGTGGTCTCTCCAACATGTCTGCCAGTGGTCTCTCCAACATGTCTGCCAGTGGTCTCTCCAACATGTCTGCCACTGGTCTCTCCAACATGTCTGCCACTGGTCTCTCCAACATGTCTGCCCCTAGCCTCTCCAACATGTCTGCCAGTGGTCTCTCCAACATGTCTGCCACTGGTCTCTCCAACATGTCTGCCACTGGTCTCTCCAACATGTCTGCCACTGGTCTCTCCAACATGTCTGCCACTGGTCTCTCCAACATGTCTGCCACTGGTCTGTCAAACATGTCTGCCACTGGTCTCTCAAACATGTCTGCCACTGGTCTCTCCAACATGTCTGCCACTGGTCTCTCCAACATGTCTGCCACTGGTCTCTCCAACATGTCTGCCACTGGTCTCTCCAACATGTCTGCCACTGGTCTCTCCAACATGTCTGCCCCTAGCCTCTCCAACATGTCTGCCACTGGTCTCTCCAACATGTCTGCCCCTAGCCTCTCCAACATGTCTGCCAGTGGTCTCTCCAACATGTCTGCCACTGGTCTCTCCAACATGTCTGCCACTGGTCTCTCCAACATGTCTGCCACTGGTCTCTCCAACATGTCTGCCACTGGTCTCTCCAACATGTCTGCCACTGGTCTCTCCAACATGTCTGCCACTGGTCTCTCCAACATGTCTGCCACTGGTCTCTCCAACATGTCTGCCACTGGTCTGTCAAACATGTCTGCCACTGGTCTGTCAAACATGTCTGCCACTGGTCTCTCCAACATGTCTGCCACTGGTCTCTCCAACATGTCTGCCACTGGTCTCTCCAACATGTCTGCCACTGGTCTCTCCAACATGTCTGCCCCTAGCCTCTCCAACATGTCTGCCACTGGTCTCTCCAACATGTCTGCCCCTAGCCTCTCCAACATGTCTGCCAGTGGTCTCTCCAACATGTCTGCCACTGGTCTCTCCAACATGTCTGCCACTGGTCTCTCCAACATGTCTGCCACTGGTCTCTCCAACATGTCTGCCACTGGTCTCTCCAACATGTCTGCCACTGGTCTCTCCAACATGTCTGCCACTGGTCTCTCCAACATGTCTGCCACTGGTCTCTCCAACATGTCTGCCACTGGTCTCTCCAACATGTCTGCCACTGGTCTCTCCAACATGTCTGCCACTGGTCTCTCCAACATGTCTGCCACTGGTCTCTCCAACATGTCTGCCACTGGTCTCTCCAACATGTCTGCCACTGGTCTCTCCAACATGTCTGCCACTGGTCTCTCCAACATGTCTGCCACTGGTCTCTCCAACATGTCTGCCACTGGTCTCTCCAACATGTCTGCCACTGGTCTCTCCAACATGTCTGCCACTGGTCTCTCCAACATGTCTGCCACTGGTCTCTCCAACATGTCTGCCACTGGTCTCTCCAACATGTCTGCCACTGGTCTCTCCAACATGTCTGCCACTGGTCTCTCCAACATGTCTGCCACTGGTCTCTCCAACATGTCTGGTCCTCCCCCTGGTCTCTCAAAGTCTCTCCAACATGTCTGCCCCTGGTCTCTCCAACATGTGCCACTCTCCAACATGTCTGCTCACTGGTCTCTCCAACATGTCTGCCCCTGGCACTGGTCTCTCCAACATGTCTGCTCTCTTGTCTGCCACTGGTCCTCTCCAACATGTCTGCTCCAACATGTCTTGGTCTCTCTCCAACATGTGCCACTGCCCCTGGCCTCTCCAACATGTTCTGCTCTTGGTCTCTCCAACATGTCTGCCCAACACTGCCATTGGAGAGACCAGTGGCAGACATGTTGGAGAGACCAGTGGCAGACATGTTGGAGAGACCAGTGGCAGACATGTTGGAGAGACCAGTGGCAGACATGTTGGAGAGACCAGTGGCAGACATGTTGGAGAGACCACTGGCAGACATGTTGGAGAGGCTAGGGGCAGACATGTTGGAGAGACCAGTGGCAGACATGTTGGAGAGACCAGTGGCAGACATGTTGGAGAGACCAGTGGCAGACATGTTGGAGAGACCAGTGGCAGACATGTTGGAGAGACCAGTGGCAGACATGTTGGAGAGACCAGTGGCAGACATGTTGGAGAGACCAGTGGCAGACATGTTGGAGAGGCCAGTGGCAGACATGTTGGAGAGGCCAGTGGCAGACATGTTGGAGAGACCACTGGCAGACATGTTGGAGAGACCACTGGCAGACATGTTGGAGAGACCAGTGGCAGACATGTTGGAGAGGCTAGGGGCAGACATGTTGGAGAGACCAGGGGCAGACATGTTGGAGAGACCAGTGGCAGACATGTTGGAGAGACCAGTGGCAGACATGTTGGAGAGACCAGTGGCAGACATGTTGGAGAGACCAGTGGCAGACATGTTGGAGAGACCAGTGGCAGACATGTTGGAGAGACCAGTGGCAGACATGTTGGAGAGACCAGTGGCAGACATGTTGGAGAGACCAGTGGCAGACATGTTGGAGAGACCAGTGGCAGACATGTTGGAGAGACCAGTGGCAGACATGTTGGAGAGACCAGTGGCAGACATGTTGGAGAGACCAGTGGCAGACATGTTGGAGAGACCAGTGGCAGACATGTTGGAGAGACCAGTGGCAGACATGTTGGAGAGACCAGTGGCAGACATGTTGGAGAGACCAGTGGCAGACATGTTGGAGAGACCAGTGGCAGACATGTTGGAGAGACCAGTGGCAGACATGTTGGAGAGACCAGTGGCAGACATGTTGGAGAGACCAGTGGCAGACATGTTGGAGAGACCAGTGGCAGACATGTTGGAGAGACCAGTGGCAGACATGTTGGAGAGACCAGTGGCAGACATGTTGGAGAGACCAGTGGCAGACATGTTGGAGAGACCAGTGGCAGACATGTTGGAGAGACCAGTGGCAGACATGTTGGAGAGACCACTGGCAGACATGTTGGAGAGGCTAGGGGCAGACATGTTGGAGAGACCAGTGGCAGACATGTTGGAGAGGCTAGGGGCAGACATGTTGGAGAGACCAGTGGCAGACATGTTGGAGAGACCAGTGGCAGACATGTTGGAGAGACCAGTGGCAGACATGTTGGAGAGACCAGTGGCAGACATGTTTGACAGACCAGTGGCAGACATGTTTGACAGACCAGTGGCAGACATGTTGGAGAGACCAGTGGCAGACATGTTGGAGAGACCAGTGGCAGACATGTTGGAGAGACCAGTGGCAGACATGTTGGAGAGACCAGTGGCAGACATGTTGGAGAGACCAGTGGCAGACATGTTGGAGAGACCAGTGGCAGACATGTTGGAGAGACCAGTGGCAGACATGTTGGAGAGACCACTGGCAGACATGTTGGAGAGGCTAGGGGCAGACATGTTGGAGAGACCAGTGGCAGACATGTTGGAGAGGCTAGGGGCAGACATGTTGGAGAGACCAGTGGCAGACATGTTGGAGAGACCAGTGGCAGACATGTTGGAGAGACCAGTGGCAGACATGTTGGAGAGACCAGTGGCAGACATGTTGGAGAGACCAGTGGCAGACATGTTTGAGAGACCAGTGGCAGACATGTTTGACAGACCAGTGGCAGACATGTTGGAGAGACCAGTGGCAGACATGTTGGAGAGACCAGTGGCAGACATGTTGGAGAGACCAGTGGCAGACATGTTGGAGAGACCAGTGGCAGACATGTTGGAGAGACCACTGGCAGACATGTTGGAGAGGCTAGGGGCAGACATGTTGGAGAGACCAGTGGCAGACATGTTGGAGAGACCAGTGGCAGACATGTTGGAGAGACCACTGGCAGACATGTTGGAGAGACCACTGGCAGACATGTTGGAGAGACCACTGGCAGACATGTTGGAGAGACCAGTGGCAGACATGTTGGAGAGACCACTGGCAGACATGTTGGAGAGACCACTGGCAGACATGTTGGAGAGACCAGTGGCAGACATGTTGGAGAGACCAGTGGCAGACATGTTGGAGAGACCAGTGGCAGACATGTTGGAGAGACCAGTGGCAGACATCTTGGAGATTGAGTCCAGCTCTAACTGAAGTGTATTATTTGTCATAGATACGACGCGGCCGAAGCGGGACTACGAGGTAGACGCTCGGGATTATCACTTCGTAGTTTCTCGTGAGCAGATGGAGCGGGACATCCAGGAGCACCGCTTCATCGAAGCCGGCCAGTACAACGGACACCTGTACGGGACCAGTGTGCAGTCCGTGCGGCAGGTCGCGGAGAAGGTGTGTATTCACCATACACACACGCACACATGGAGAACTACCCAGAGAAGGTATACACACAACACACCCCCAGTGAAGGTTTACACACACACACACACACACACACACACACACACACACACACACACACACACACACACACACACACACACACACACACACACACACACACACACACACACACACACACACACACACACACACACACACACACACACACACACACACACACACACACACACACACACACACACACACACACACACACACACACACACACACACACACACACACACACACACACACACACACACACACACTTAAATATTTGATAGCACTTATTTCTTCAAGACGGTGCTGTGGTCAAATGATCATGTGACGCCCTTCTCTCTGCTAAGAAGACATGAGAGTCCATGTAAGAAGTAAAATTAAGAATTTAAACATATGAAATGTAATTTAATGATAAACCAGATGCACAATGAACAGAAATACAACATTTGGCTCCAACCCTTCACTGATTCAATGACTCACACACACACTACACTTCTCTCCCACTACTCACTTTGAAGTCTCACACCGCCACATTCTTCTTCAGTGCTTACTTTATGAGGAGCTGTTTAAATTGTAACAAGTTTGGTCCTTGAGTCTCTCTCTCTCTGGTGTTCTGGTGTCCCTCAGGTCTTTCTCTTGCTGGTCTTTCTCTCTCTCTGGTCTCTCTCTGGTCTCGCTCTGGTCTCGCTCTGGTCTCGCTCTGGTCTCGCTCTGGTCTCGCTCTGGTCTCGCTCTGGTCTCTCTCTGGTCTCGCTCTGGTCTCGCTCTGGTCTCTCTCTGGTCTCGCTCTGGTCTCGCTCTGGTCTCGCTCTGGTCTCGCTCTGGTCTCGCTCTGGTCTCGCTCTGGTCTCGCTCTGGTCTCGCTCTGGTCTCGCTCTGGTCTCGCTCTGGTCTCGCTCTGGTCTCGCTCTGGTCTCGCTCTTTTCTCTCTCTGGTCTCGCTCTTTTCTCTCTCTGGTCTCTCTCTGGTCTCGCTCTGGTCTCGCTCTGGTCTCGCTCTGGTCTCGCTCTGGTCTCTCTCTGGTCTCGCTCTTTTCTCTCTCTGGTCTCGCTCTTTTCTCTCTCTGGTCTCTCTCTGGTCTCTCTCTGGTCTCTCTCTGGTCTCTCTCTGGTCTCTCTCTGGTCTCTCTCTGGTCTCTCTCTGGTCTCTCTCTGGTCTCTCTCTGGTCTCTCTCTGGTCTCGCTCTGGTCTCGCTCTGGTCTCGCTCTTTTCTCGCTCTGGTCTCGCTCTGGTCTCTCTCTGGTCTCTCTCTGGTCTCTCTCTGGTCTCTCTCTGGTCAGACATGACCACACATTATTCTGTCTCTTGTTTCAGGGGAAACACTGCATCCTGGACGTATCTGGAAACGCCATAAAGAGACTGCAGCTGGCCCAGCTTCATCCCATCGCGATCTTCATCAAACCCAAGACTGTGGAGAACATCCTGTGAGTCTGCCCCCTGCTGCCCGTGCCCTGCTACTACACACACAGCCACACACCCTGGGCACTCTCAACAGTTCAGTTTCAGGATTTGTCACAAAGCGGTGCTGGTGTGTTTTAGTTTAGACTTCGGAACCCATTTTAGATTTGTACATTCTCGTATTCTTTATCATTTGATGGATGTTTATGGAGCGAAAATTTTGATGTAGAGCATAATTTTACTATTTTTTGAGTATTTCAATCGTATTGTACTTAAAATTAACAGTTTGAAATACAATACAGCCTCAGTCCTGTAGACCCAGGACTGAGGCTGCTGACCCAGGACTGAGGCTGCAGACCCAGGACTGAGGCTGTAGACCCAGGACTGAGGCTGCAGACCCAGGACTGAGGCTG